GAGACACCGCAGCAGTGGCGAGAGACTGACCCTGCAGAGACACAGCAGCAGTGGAGAGAGTCTGACTCTGCAGAGACACAGCAGCAGTGGAGAGAGAATGACTCTGCAGAGACACCGCAGCAGTGGAGAGAGACTGACCCTGCAGAGACACCGCAGCAGTGGCGAGAGACTGACCCTGCAGAGACACAGCAGCAGTGGAGAGAGACTGACCCTGCAGACACAGCAGCAGTGGAGAGAGACTGACTCTGCAGAGACACAGCAGCAGTGGAGAGAGACTGACCCTGCAGACACAGCAGCAGTGGAGAGAGCCTGACTCACACTATAGCCGATACAATTGAAGCCAGCATGGCACACGAGGGAGTGGGTGGCCAGCACCACACTGCATCAGGTACCCGTCAATGGCTGAGTCGACCTAGGGGAGGCCCAACACCGGATCAGACACAGTATTCTTCCGATGTTGGCTGAGTGGGAATTCAACTCGGGTCGCTAGGTTCATAGCGCAGCACGCTAACCACTGCACCACTGCTCCCCTGATGCAAGGGTGACACGGTGGCTAGGATATGTTCATGCCTTCGGCTGGTATACAGGAGGTCGTAGGTTGCATGTTTCTGCTAAGGGGACAGGACAACTTCACCACATCAAAGGGACGATGGACGGGGCCATGTACCGTCAAATCTTGGGTGAGAACCTCCTTCCCTCAGCCAGGGCATTGAAAATGGGTCGTGGATGGGTATTCCAGCATGACAATAACCCAACACACACGGCCAAGGCAACAAAGGAGTGACTCAAGAAGAAGCACATTAAGGTCCTGGAGTGGCCTAGCCAGTCTCCAGACCTTAATCCCATCGAGAATCTGTGGAGGGAGCTGAAGGTTCGAGTTGCCAAACGTCAGCCTCGAAACCTTAATGACTTGGAGAAGATCTGCAAAGAGGAGGGGGACAAAATCCCTCCTGAGATGTGTGCAAACCTGGTGGCCAACTACAAGAAACGTCTGACCTCTGTGATTGCCAACAAGGGTTTTGCCACCAAGTACTAAGTCATGTTTTGCAGAGGGGGTCAAATACTTATTTCCCTCATTAAAATGCAAATCAATTTATAACATTTTTGACATGCGTTTTTCTGGATTTTTTGTTGTTATTCTGTCTCTCACGGTTCAAATAAACCTACCATTACAATGATAGACTGATCATTTCTTTGTCAGTGGGCAAACGTACAAAATCAGCAGGGGATCAAATACTTCTAGATTTGAAGCTTTCGTGACTGCAAGGATTCATATGCTTAGGTTTTTTCCGGTAAAGTCACCGTGTAGGTAAAACATCAAAATTAATAAAAATAAAATAAAATAAAGATCACGACGTTTCGGAGGCAACACAAGTCTCCGTCATCAGGTGGGACCGTCACAGCCAGATTAGCTGCATCAAGTGAGGCAATGACTCAAGATGTAATCCCTTAAAAGCGAGTTGAGGGGGGAGGAGAGGGGGGAGATCATCAGAATGTGGTAGTCAATGAATGGAAAGTATCGGGAGGGAGGGGGGGGCGGGGCCAAAAGGGTGGGCGACGGCGTGGAAGCGATTGTGCGCAAGCGACAAACTGCTGCACACGCCAACGTCTTGGGCAGGGAGGGGGGAGGGGGAGGCCTGATACACATGATAGAAAAGAACGAAAATGCCCATGTTTATACCAATGCTGGCTGAACAATGAAGAGATTACTGTTAAACACTGGGGATGTTAACACTCGGTAAAGTAAAATAGTGCCTGTCAGATAAGATTGTCCTAAAAAAGTGTAATTAAGTCTTTTTTGCGTGGTTAATAACATCTTTCCAATGATTACTGAGTTCAGTCCTCTCCTCACTGTAGCTCAGTGGGGATATTACCTGGTAAAATAAAAACAATTTGGTTCAAAACAAAGTTTAGTTTTAGTTTATAATACATCTGATTCACTACGGCCGGAGGAGCTCACTGAAGGGGACTTGTATCCAGATCCTTCAAGGATCTGTGAGCTCCTCACACCATCCAGCCTGGTTAATCCCAGGATGGATCGTAGGCAGGCCAGACTAAATGTTTCTAACCAGCGAATATGTGCCGTTAGTGTGGGGGGGGGGGTCCACGTTTCGCAAGCATAGGAAAGGGAGGGCATGACTGTAGCCGAGATGACCCAAAGCTTTGTGTGGAGTGACAGACCAGGTAGCTTCCACACAGCAGCGTAATGCAGAGGTCGCAAACGGGTTTTGATTCCTTACCCGTACCCATACCCGGCCGCACCAGGGTCGCAAACGGGTACCCGTTCTCTACCCGTACCCTACCCGAAATGAGTGACAAACGGTTACTCACCAGTGACTCACGGCCTACCCGTACCCGTACCCGGCCGCACCAGGGTCGCAAACGGGTACCCGTACCTGGCCGGGTACAGGTAGCCGGGTAGCCGGTAGGGTACGGGTATCGGGTACCCGGTTGCGACCTCTGGTGTAATGCAGCCAATGAAAAGATGCCTCTCGACCGATTTGGAGTGAGACATCCGCTGTCAAAACACTATTGGTCAAAAGCACACTGCCCCAGGGTACTGCAACTTATCCATTTTATATCACCTGCCCCCATGAATTAGTGAGGCATTTGAGGGGGTGGAGCGTTTGATGACACAACATACCCAGGCAGGTGCTTAGTTTTGGTGGGCTCGTGGTCCCCATCTCTTAGTGGCATGCTCCAGGTTCAAAGTGTGGGTAGCAATCCACAGACCATCGGCGTACAACGTGGTTGACCACGAGAGAGCCAGAACATCCCTCGACCCCACCAAGGGCATCGATCAGTCCACTCATTGTATCTGCTGTGCCAGATGTAAATTCCACTGGTACAGCCACGGAAGTAGACAAAGAAGATGATATTTACACCATTGGAACCTCATTTGCCAGTAAAAAATATAATTGTTTTTTTACCCTTCTATCTGGCAACACAACTGACACCTTTTTTTACAAGGAGTCATGTTTGCATAGACCACAATACCTGCAGCCATAATACAAACCCCCCCCCCCCACCTCGTCACACGTCTGACCCCCCCCCCCCTAGGTGCGTGACGTCATTTATGGACGGCCCCCAATCCAACGCGCGTCCACATTGATCAGTTCGTTCAGCGTGCGTCCACACTGGTTAGTTCATTTAGAGCACGTCCATGTTGATTAGTTCATTCAGCGCGCATCCACGTTGGTGAGTTCATTCAGCACACGTCCATGTTAATTAGTTCATTCAGCACACGTCCACGTTGATTCGTTCATTCAGCACGCGTCCATGTTGATTAGTTCATTCAGCACACGTCCATGTTGATTCGTTCATTCAGCACGCGTCCATGTTGATTAGTTCATTCAGCACATGTCCACGTTGGTGAGTTCATTCAGCACACGTCCATGTTGATTAGTTCATTCAGCACGCGTCCATGCTGATTAGTTCATTCAGCACACGTCCACGTTGGTGAGTTCATTCAGCACACGTCCATGTTGATTAGTTCATTCAGCACACGTCCACGTTGGTGAGTTCATTCAGCACACGTCCACGTTGGTGAGTTCATTCAGCACACGTCCACGTTGGTGAGTTCATTCAGCACACGTCCATGTTGATTAGTTCATTCAGCACGCGTCCATGTTGATTAGTTCATTCAGCACACGTCCATGTTGATTAGTTCATTCAGCACACGTCCACATTGGTTAGTTCATTTAGAGCACGTCCACGTTCATATTCTTAGGTTTTTTCGGTAAAGTCACGTAGGTAAAACATCAAAATTAATGAAAATAAAATAAAACAAAAATCACGACGTTTCGGAGGCCTCCTAAGAATATGAATCCTTGCAGTCACGAAAGCTTCAAATCTAGAATTCACGTCCATGTTGATTAGTTCATTTAGAGCACGTCCATGTTGATTAGTTCATTCAGCACACGTCCATGTTGATTAGTTCATTCAGCGCACGTCCACGTTGATTAGTTCACCCACGTGACACAGAGCCCCCCCCCACCCTCCCCGCGCGAGGCGGGGGGGGGGGACCCCACGTGACCCCCTCAGACGCCAGAGAAAAGGCGGGAAAAGCGAACCGGGCGGGGTCGCGCTGACGTCACTTCCGCTGTACGCGAAGCAAACACTGAGGGGGGATGGCGCGCTTCTACTGCTGCTGATGCTGCTACTGCTGATGCTGCTACTGCTGCTTCTATTGCTGCTACTGCTGCTTCTATTGCTGCTACTGCTGCTTCTATTGCTGCTACTGCTGCTTCCACCTTCAACGCGACTCGCAGTAACGGAGGAGGAGGAGGGGGGGGGAGTCCGCGCTCATCCCTCACTAACTCTGGTCTCGTACGCTCCTACCCCCCCACCACCACCACCTCCCTCGCTCTCCAACCCCCTCGCGGCTGCCTCCTCCTCTCCCCCATCGCGCTCGCCCCTCTCTTCTCACCTCGCGCGCCTCGTGAAGCGGTGGAGGAGGAGGAGGGGGGTGGGTCTCGCTCAACACCAACAACAGCCCAAGTCTCGCGAGAGGCGGGGTCTGGGTGCCCACCCCTCACCTCCCCTCCCCTCCCCTCACCTCCCCACCTCCCCTCTCCTCACCACCTCCCCTCACCTCCCCTCCCCTCCCTTCACCTCACCTCAGCCCCCTCACCTCAGCCCCCTCACCTCACCTCACCTCCCCTCACCTCCCCTCAACCTCCTCACCTCCCCTCACCTCAACCTCCTCACCTCACCTCCCCTCACCTCAGCCCCCTCCCCTCACCTCCCCTCCCCTCACCTCCCCTCCCCTCAGCCTCCCCTCACCTCACCTCACCTCCCCTCACCTCACCTCCCCTCCCTTCACCTCCCCTCCCCTCCCTTCACCTCCCCTCCCCTCCCTTCACCTCCCCTCCCCTCCCTTCACCTCCCCTCCCCTCCCCTCCTTCCCCTCCCCTCCCTTCACCTCCCCTCACCTCAGCCCCCTCACCTCAGCCCCCTCACCTCAGCCCCCTCACCTCAGCCCCCTCACCTCAGCCCCCTCACCTCAGCCCCCTCACCTCAGCCCCCTCACCTCAGCCACCTCCCCTCCCCGTCTCGAGCATGCCGCCCGTGAAGCTGCGTCACGTGGTGTCGTGCAGCAGTGAGGATCCGGTGAGTGCGGGTCACGTGGTGCAGCCTCGCACACACCCCTCGCACCCCTCTCACCAGGGTTCGTGAGCGCGGGCCGCCATCTTACCTGGGGAGGATTTTGTGTGAGCGGCCATCTTGCCTAGGGAAGATTTCGCGTGCGACGGCCATTTTGCCTAGGGAAGATTTCGCGTGCGCCCGTGTGTGTGGGTGGCCATCTTACCTGGGGAAGATTTCGCATGCGCCCGTGTGTGTGGGTGGCCATCTTACCTGGGGAAGATTTCGCGTGCGCCCGTGTGTGTGGGTGGCCATCTTACCTCGGGAAGATTTCGCGTGCGCCCGTGTGTGTGGGTGGCCATCTTACCTGGGGAAGATTTCGCATGCGCCCGTGTGTGTGGGTGGCCATCTTACCTGGGGAAGATTTCGCATGCGCCCGTGTGTGTGGGTGGCCATCTTACCTGGGGAAGATTTCGCATGCGCCCGTGTGTGTGGGTGGCCATCTTACCTGGGGAAGATTTCGCATGCGCCCGTGTGTGTGGGTGGCCATCTTACCTGGGGAAGATTTCGCATGCGCCCGTGTGTGTGGGTGGCCATCTTACCTCGGGAAGATTTCGCGTGCGCCCGTGTGTGTGGGTGGCCATCTTACCTGGGGAAGATTTCGCATGCGCCCGTGTGTGTGGGTGGCCATCTTACCTGGGGAAGATTTCGCATGCGCCCGTGTGTGTGGGTGGCCATCTTACCTGGGGAAGATTTTGCGTGCGCCCGTATGTGGGCGGCCATCTTGCCTGGGGAAGATTTTGCGTGCACCCGTGTGTGGGCGACCATTTTGCCTAGGGAAGATTTCGTGTGAGCGGCCATCTTGCCCAGGGAAGATTTTGTGTGAGCGGCCATCTTGCCTAGGGAAGATTTCGCGTGCGCCCGTATGTGAGCGGCCATCTTGCCTTGGGAAGATTTCGCGTGTGCCCGTCTGTGAGCGGCCATCTTGCCTGGGGAAGATTTCGCGTGTGCCCGTGTGTGGGCGGCCATCTTGCCTAGGGAAGATTTCGCGTGTGCCCGTGTGTGGGCGGCCATCTTGCCTAGGGAAGATTTCGCGTGTGCCCGTGTGTGGGCGGCCATCTTGCCTGGGGAAGATTTCGCGTGCGCCCGTGTGTGGGACGGCCATCTTGCCTGGGGAAGATTTCGTGTGGGCGGCCATCTTGCCTAGGGAAGATTTCGCGTGCGCCCGTGTGGGCGGCCATCTTGCCTGGGGAAGATTTCGTGTGGGCGGCCATCTTACCTGGGGAAGATTTCGCGTGCGTCCGTGTGTGTGGGACGGCCATCTTACCTGGGGAAGATTTCGCATGCGCCCGTGTGTGTGGGTGGCCATCTTACCTGGGGAAGATTTCGCATGCGTCCGTGTGTGTGGGACGGCCATCTTACCTGGGGAGGCTTCGCGTGAGCGGGGCGGCCATCTTACCTGGGGAGGCTTCGCGTGATGGGGCGGCCATCTTACCTGGGGAGACACTGTTTCGATAGCGACCTCGATCTGCTGAAGCTTATCAGCAGTTTCCCCGTGGAACATCTCGTGCTGCTGATGCTACGAGATTTCTCATATTGACGCGAGGTATTTGGCAGCTGTGCACAATGAAAACCCCTGAATCAGAATAATGATACTCCAGGATGAATCCGATGAGCTATGAAGCGTTTACACCATTGGAACCTCATTTGCCAGTAAAAAAATATGATTATTGTTTTTTTTACCCTTCTATCTGGCAACAAAACTGACACCTTTTTTTACAAGGCATCATGTTTGCAATAACCGCAACACAAGCAGTCAAAATGCAAACAAAAATAAACAACTGATAATGGTAATGATATGCACTGTCCTTGAAGTTGATTGGTCCACACCCGAGACAGCTTTCCTTAGAGTCTAGTCTCACATGGGTTGGACCAGATGACGCCAAAAGGCGCACAACTCAAAGACAATGCACCATCAGAGTATGAGAGCTCGGGGTGAGCATTTACACCATTGGAACCTCATTTGCCAGTAAAAAATATGATAATTGGTTTTTTACCCTTCTATCTGGCAACAAAACTGACACGTTTTTACAAGGTGTCATCTTGGTTCTTTCGGTAAAGTCACGTAGAAGGGAAGTAATAAAATAATAAAAATAAAACAAAATAAAATAATTCTCACGACGTTTCGGCTACAACGCAAGCAGCCGTCTTCAGGTGAAGAATGAGACACTGCCAAGCTAGGAGCTTATATTAAGGCGCTCTTCTTCCACCCCCAACTCAGCTTATATATAAGCTCCCAGCTTGGCAGTGTCTCATTCTTCACCTGAAGACGGCTGCTTGCGTTGTAGCCGAAACGTCGTGAGAATTATTTTATTATGTTTTATTTTTATTATTTTATTACTTCTCTTCTACGTGACTTTACCGAAAGAACCAAGAAGATGAATCCCTGCAGTCACGAATGCTTTAAATCGGAAGGAGGTGTCATTTTGTTGCCAGATAGAAGGGTTAAAAAACAATTATCAGCTATAAAGCTCTTTTCTACAGATGGTTTAGTCGGGCCGGGTAAGAATGTACACCAACAAGTAATACAAAACACGACAGTAGCGCAAAGTACAAGGCAAACAAGTCACCTAAACCATACAACTAGAATCTTCTTGGTTCTTTCGGTAAAGTCACGTAGAAGGGAAATAATAAAATAATAGAAATTAAACATAATAATAATGTTTAATAATTATGTTTTATTAAAATAATAGAAATAAAACATGTTTAATAATTATTTTTATTAAAATAATATAAATAAAACATGTTTAATAATTATTTTTATTAAAATAATAGAAATAAAACATCATTATGTTTAATAATTATTTTTATTAAAATAATAGAAATAAAACATCATTATGTTTAATAATTATTTTTATTAAAATAATAGAAATAAAACATCATTATGTTTAATAATTATGTTTTATTAAAATAATAGAAATAAAACATAATTATGTTTAATAATTATTTTTATTAAAATAATAGAAATAAAACATCATTATGTTTAATAATTATTTTTATTAAAATAATAGAAATAAAACATCATTATGTTTAATAATTATTTTTATTAAAACAATAGAAATAAAACATCATTATGTTTAATAATTATTTTTATTGAAATAATAGAAATAAAACATCATTATGTTTAATAATTATGTTTTATTAAAATAATAGAAATAAAACATAATTATGTTTAATAATTATTTTTATTAAAATAATAGAAATAAAACATAATTACGTTTAATAATTATTTTTATTAAAATAATAGAAATAAAACATGTTTAATAATTATGTTGGTTTTTTTTATTTTATTATTTCCCTTCTACGTGATGACTTTACCGACAGAACCAAGAAGATGAATCCCTGCAGTCACGAAAGCTTTAAATCGAAACGTACAACTAGAACTAAACCATCCCCATTCTATGAGGCGACGAAACCCGCTGAGCTATTAACTTGTTTTTAAGAAGCAACTTGGCGCATGATGAGAGCTCAACAAAGTGGCTCATCATTTAGACATTCATGGCAGCAAAATCTTATTTTGCTATTTTATTTCCCCCTCTCTTACCTACTTAGCCTCTTGTCACATCAGCCATTTTGCCCACTTCAGCAATCGTTTATTGCTGTGGTTGTTCCACCTGATGACGGACGCTTGTGTTGCGCCCGAAACGTCGTGATTTAATTTAGTTATTTCTCGATTTAAAGCTTTCGTAACTGCAGGGATTCATCTTCTTGGTTCTTTCGGTAAAGTCATCACATAGAAGGGAAATAATAAAATAATAAAAATAAAACATAATAAAATACAATTCTCACGACGTTATGGCCACAACGCAAGCAGCCGTCTTCAGGTGAAGAACAGGTCTGTCGGAATGACAGCGTCATTCACATCATCATCAACATCATCATCATTAACATTAACATCATTATTAACATCAACATCATCATTAACATCATCATCATTAACATCATCATGAACATCATCATCATTAACATCAACATCATCATCATCAACATCATCATCTTTTTTTTTCGATTTAAAGCTTTCGTGACTGCAGGGATTCATCTTCTTGGTTCTTTCGGTAAAGTCACGTAGAAGGGAAATAATAAAATAAAAAAAATAAAACATAATAAAATACAATTCTCACGACGTTTCGGCCACAACGCAAGCAGCTGTCCTCAGGTGAAGAACAGGTCTGTCGGAAAGACAGCGTCTGAATGAACACCACCAAGCTTGGCAGCGTATATACTTAAATATATACTTAAATATACGCTGCCAAGCTTGGTGGTGTTCAGAAGAACAGGGCTGTCGGAAAGACAGCGTCTGAATGAACACCACCAGGCTTGGCAGCGTATATACTTAAATATATACTTAAATATACGCTGCCAAGCTTGGTGGCGTTCAGAAGAACAGGTCTGTCGGAAAGAAAGCGTCTGAATGAGTACCACCAAGCTTGGCAGCGTATATTTAAGCTGCTGGGTTAGAGGGGGAAGGGCGCCTTGACAAAGGAATTTGCATATCAACAGATATTAGGAATCTTAACTTTGGAGCTTAGATATTAGGAAGCCGCTGGAGGCTATGCAATTTTAAATCGCCTAGATTGAAAGTCATTTGTGGATTAACCGCGCACCTGAGATTTTGAAAACAGGTCCCTGCGGGGTGGGCTGGTAGGAACGAATAACCAAAGAATATAAACATCATGTATTATTACACTTGTTTAGCCAGGAAAGCCTCACTGAGTCCAAAGGTTTTTGTAGGGTCCTGCCAAGTGTTTGCAGTAGGGGGCGATGTTGCTACACCTAATCGGACATCGGACGGACGATATAATCTATTGTAGGCTGGTTCACTTCGTTCCTACCAGTCTAAATTAATAACTCGTAGGTTTTCCCTGAAGCCCGAATTAATAATCTAGTTGTACATTGTTATTCTTGGAAATGTTTATTACAAGTCACATGCTTAAACCGAAAAAATCTCTCGTCGGGTTAATCCGAAATCGGCGTGATCGCCTCTACAGTACAGTAGTTGCAATATATTTTCAACGGTGTGCAGAGTTTGATTGAGTTTGATTGGCGTGCCTCTGCTATCCACTATAGTGGGCCGAGTCTTCTGTACGGGAGCAGGACAATGTTATCATCACAGCGCACACGCATCGAGCGTTAGTATTCGTTCTAAATCGAAATAGTAACAATCGAAATCGTTAGCTGTGCTTCACTTCAAAGTGTTTATCTTTGGTTATAGTTGTGGTGATTGTCATGGTGGTAGTGGTGGTGGTGATAGTGGCTGTAGTGGTGGTGGTGATAGTGGCTGTAGTGGTGGTGGTTATAGTGGTAGTAGTTGTAGTGTTGGTTGAAGTGGTTATAGTTGTGGTGATTGTCATGGTGGTAGTGGTGGTGGTGATGGTGGCTGTAGTGGTGGTGGTTATCGTGGTAGTTCTATTGGTAGTGGTTGTGGTGTTGGTTAAAGTGGTTATAGTTGTGGTGCTGATAGTGGTTGTTGTTGTGGTGCTTATAGTGGTGGTGGTTACGGTGGTGGTTCTATTTGTGGTGCTTGTGGTGATGGGTGTTGTGGTGATAGTGGCTGTAGTGGTGGTTATGGTGGTTGTTGTGGTGGTGGTTCTATTTATGGTGGTGGGTGTTGTGGTCATGATTGTGTTGGTGATAGTGGTGGTTATGGTGAGTGTTGTGATGGTGGTGGTGAGTGTTGTGATGGTTGTTGTGATGGTTGTTATGGTGTTGGTGGTTTTATTTGTGGTGGTTGTAGTGGTGGTGGATGTGGTCGTGGTGGTGGTGGTGGGTGTTGTGATGGTGGTGGTGGGTGTTGTGATGGTTGTTATGGTGTTGGTGGTTCTATTTGTGGTGGTTGTAGTGATTGTGAATGTGGTGGTGGTGGGTGTTGTGATGGTGGTGGTGAGTGTTGTGATGGTTGTTGTGATGGTTGTTATGGTGCTGGTGGTTGTAGTGGTGGTGGATGTGGCCGTGGTGGTTATGGTGGGTGTTGTGGTTTCCCCCCCAGTTGCACCGTGTGGACAATCTTCTCAGCGGCGATGCTCACCGCAAGTGGCGCTGCCTCCCCGGGGAGAAGGAGGCCTCTTTCATCCTCCAGGTGTCACCCACAGCACCCACAGCACCATCACCACCATCACCACCATCACTGCCGCCATCACCGCCATTGCCAACATCACCAACCATCACCATCACTACCACCGTCATCATCCTAATCATCACCATCATCAACACCATCACCACCATCACTGCCGCCATCACCACCATCACCGCCATCACCACCATTGCCAACATCACCAACCATCACCATCACTACCGACATCACCACCATCAACACCATCACCACCATCACTGCCGCCATCACCGCCATCACCACCATTGCCAACATCACCAACCATCACCATCACTACCACCATCATCATCCTAATCACAATCATCACCATCATCACCACCATCACTGCCGCCATCACCGCCATCGCCACCATTGCCAACATCACCAACCATCCCCATCACTACCACCATCATCACCATCAACACCATCATCATCCTAATCATCCTAATCACCATCACCACCATCACCACCATTGCCACCACCATCACTCTACCACCACCATCATCATCCTAATCATCACCATCATCACCATCATCACCCCCGTCACCACCATCACTGCCGCCACCACCACCACCATCACCACCACCATCACCACCACCATCACTCTACCACCGTCATCATCCTAATCATCACCATCATCACCACCGTCACCACCATCACCACCATCATCCCATCATCCTAATCACCACCACCATCACCAACCACCATCACCACCATCACCAACCATCACTACCACCATCATCATCCTAATCATCACCATCACCACCATCACCACCACCATCACTCTACCACCGTCATCATCCTAATCATCACCATCATCACCACCGTCACCACCATCACCACCATCATCATCCTAATCACCACCACCATCACCAACCACCATCACCACCATCACCAACCATCACTACCACCATCATCATCCTAATCATCACCATCACCACCATCACCACCACCATCACTCTACCACCGTCATCATCCTAATCATCACCATCATCACCACCGTCACCACCATCACCACCATCATCATCCTAATCACCACCACCATCACCAACCACCATCACCACCATCACCAACCATCACTACCACCATCATCATCCTAATCATCACCATCACCACCATCACCACCATCATCACCATCACCACCATCACCACCATCAACACCGCCGCTGCCACCGGGCGGATAAACCCGGCACCTGCGCCGCCCGATAAGGAGAGTCTGTGTCCCCGTTGGGGGAATGTGGAATTTCCTCATCTGGCTCATCCCGGAGTTAGGGGAGCAGAGATGAGCGGAGACCGGCTCTCGTCCCGGCCTGGAATTGCTGATTCTACCATTAATTACGACTTTTTAAATCCTTTATATTAAGTTCGCTCGCTCGCTTGCTTAGGACCGTGCAAATCTTTCGGTCGTTTTTTAACCCACTTCCCGTGATCCAATCGAGCTGAGATTTTCCACCCAGACTCGTTGTGCGTGACAATTAATGTTCGTGAATTTTTTTTCCAAAATTTTACACTTTTTAGTAAAAAATATTATATTTAATTACCAATTGCTTAATGGTGCAATGCAATCATCTGACCCATAGGTGGCAGCCATCTCAAGCCAGAGGACGAGAGGACTCTAGCCGCCACGCATATTAAGGATTTATAGTGAAAAACTTTGTTTTTACGGGTTTTACTTATTTTTATTTGTACCAGTGGATAAGGTCCCACTGCGCTATGTGGGTCTTTTTCAGAAGCAAACCAGATATCACAAATGATAGCTTAACGAAGTGGCTAATATCATCATCAATAACCGGATATTTATAGTAGCGGCCAAATAGTCTAAATGTGCGACGTTGATTCTAAATAAGGAGGGAAAAACTGGAGGACCCGTAGAAAAATCCACACGGCAACGGGGAGAGCGAGAGCCACACAAACTCCAAATATACAGCAGCAGCAGGCATCAGGGTTGGGATTGAACCCACGACCTCCTGTGTACCAGACGAGGTAGTTAACATCTCCTAGCCACCGTGATGAGAGACACGCAAACTCCAAATATACAGCAGCAGGCATCAGGGTTGGGATTGAACCCACGACCTCCTGTACACCAGGCGAGGTAGTTAACATCTCCTAGCCACCATGATGAGAGACACGCAAACTCCAAATATACAGCAGCAGGCATCAGGGTTGGGATTGAACCCACGACCTCCTGTACACCAGGCGAGGTAGTTAACATCTCCTAGCCACCATGATGAGAGACACGCAAACTCCAAATATACAGCAGCAGGCATCAGGGTTGGGATTGAACCCACGACCTCCTGTACACCAGACGAGGTAGTTAACATCTCCTAGCCACCATGGTGCCACTGGATTCTATTGGCAGACCTCGTGCCTCTGTGTGCGTCCTCGTGTGTTTCTGTCTACATATGACCCCTTGTATCTCACATGTCTGCCCTCCTGTGTGTCTCCCTGTGTCCCCGTGTCCAGTTTGAGAAGGCTGAGAAAATTCTCAGCGTCGATGTTGGGAATGAGGGATCGGCCTTCGTGGAAATCCTCGTGGGCAACTCCTCCTCCAATGACTCGGACTTCCAGGTGAGTGTGAGTGAGTGAGTGTGAGTGAAAGAGAGTGAAAGTGAAAGTGAGTGTGAGTGAGTGTGAGTGAAAGTGTGAGTGAGAGAGAGTGAGTGTGAGTGAAAGTGTGAGTGAGAGAGAGTGAGTGAGAGTGAGTGTGAGTGAGTGTGAGTGTGAGTGAGTGATTGTGAGTGTGAGTGAGTGTGAGTGGGTGTGAGTGGGTAAGTGTGTGAGTTAGTCATTAAGTGGGGAGCGGTAGTGTAGCAGCTCGCGCACTGTGCTTCGAACCCGGCATGCCAACTTTGATTCCCGCTCACTGTGATGGTGATGGCTGTGATGGCTGTGATGGTAGTGATGGTGATGGCTGTGATGGTGATGGCTGTGATGGTCATCACCAGTGACGATTATCTGAACCGGTCCTGGGCCTCCCCTAGGTCGCCTCGGCCACAAATGAGTACCTGGTGCGGTGTGTAAACATCGCCACTGAGGAGACAAAGACGGCCGGGCTTGGTGCTGACCACCCACCCCCTCGTGTGCCGTGCCGGCCTTCATAGATGCTCGCTAACAGCACCTGACCCAACAGTCTGTTGAGGCTATACGGGGGATCTTTGTCCTTGTTAATCATTAATGATCTTCATGATGGTAGGCAGGCACAGGTAAAGATGCGTGACCGGGAGTCGGAGGCATTCCCTGTTAACTTTGGGGTGCGACAGGGATGTCCTCTGGCACCTACACGATTGACATATTTTTCGACCATGTAGTTCGAGAAGCCTTCTATGTTTCAATTTAAAGCTTTCGTGACTGCAGGGATTCACCTTCTTGGTTCTTTCGGTAAAGTCGCCACGTAGAAGGGAAATAATAAAATAATAAAAATAAAACAACATTAAATAATTCTCACGACGTTTCGGCTACAACGCAAGCAGCCGTCCTCAGGTGGAGAACAGCGTCTGTCGGGGAGACGGTCTGAATCTGTCTCCTCGACAGACGCTGTTCTCCACCTGAGGACAGTTACTTGCGTTGTGGCCGAAACGTCGTGAGAATTATTTTATTATGTTTTATTTTTATTATTTTATTACTTCCATTCTACGTGACTTTACCGAAAGAACCAAGAAGCCTTCTATGGTTGTACGAAGGAATCTCCATCTGGTCCAGATACAATGGGAGGTTGATGGATGCCCGGGTGCCGCCGATAAATGGCTTTCTATTGGTCAACCATGTTATGTATGGTGATGGTCTGGTGATTGCTGCTCACTCTAAGAAGGAGTGGAGGTGCTGATGATGAACCTGGAGCGTGCCACTAAGAGGTGGAGCCTTACCATCAGCCCGTCCAAAACTAAGCACCTGCCCATGTATTTTGTGTCATCAAAAACTCCACTGGAGCATTTGTGGAGAGAGTAGATAGGTTTCCATACCTGGGCAGTGTGCTTATGACCAGCTCCAATTTGACAGCACAGGTCTCACTGCGAATCAGTTCGGCGACATTTTATCATTGGCTGCGTAACGCTGTGTGGAAGCTACCTGGTCTGTTACTCTACACGAAGCTTCATGTCTTCTCGGCCACGGTAATGCCCTCCCTTCTATTCGCTTGCGAAACGTGGAACCCTCTAATGGAACATCTCCGTTGGTTAGAAACATTCAGGCTGGCCTACCTATGATCCATCCTGGATTGTGTGATGTGAGAAGCTGACAAATTATTGAAAGATCTGGACACAGTCCCATCGATAAACTCCTCCAGCAGGCAAATTCCGATTCCAAAGAACACAGGATGAGATGTTACTATCCTTTGTGCAAGCACTTCCAAGAGTTCATGAACAGTGAGCCTGGTGAAATTTGGGGAGCGCATCGTCAGTAGTGACCCTTTGGTTCCTAGGGTGTTTCGGCCTTTCACACGATACACCCTCCCCAAAGGCGGCCAGCTACAGGGTGATCAATCCTACGCTTGCGTCCCATTCCCAATTAGTCGTAGGAGTTGCCTTGTTGTTGGTAGCCAACATCCCATGGGACTATGCATGGCAGGGGCGTCCTCCTCCCTGAGTCAAGCATTGTTGACCGCATACCTCCTGGCCCTCTCACTTTGGGGCCCAGCTGGGGTCTTTCCTCAGCAGGCAATGCTGTGTTGGCTGGGTCACGTAGCCCGCATGCCCAGCTACTGCATGCCCAAGCGGCTTCTGTTTGTCCGGATAGTGGGGGCTAAACGGGCGCGGCACGGGTTGGAGAAGAGATGGAGTGATGCGGTACGGGAGGATGTGGAGTTGAGTGGACTTGCCGAAGACTGGTACCAGCGGTGTCAAGATCGGCCTCAGTGGAGGAGGCTCGTGAAGGACGCTACTGGGCAGTTGGAGGCAGTCGCCGTCCAACAACAACGGAGGGCAGAGGAGCGACGCTCACAACAACGAGCAAAGTTGGCACAGTAGGGGGCACAGTTGGTACATTTGGCATTTATTTTAGTCATTCAACCTACGGCACCTGCTGGGTCTGTCACGTGACCTTCTGTCAGCAGAGAGGTTTCGACATGGTCTCAAAGTGCACCTAGCCTGGCACGAGCGTCATGGTGACGTCACCGCCATTTAGTGGCGAAAGGCAGCTGTTTTTGTTGGCTCTGTGTGTCTATCTATTTGTGTGTCACTCTGTCTGTGTCTAATGTCTCTGTGTGTGTCTATCTCTCTGCCTGTATATCTCTGTGTATCTGTCTGTCCTTGACTATCTCTGTCTCTGTGTGTCTTTATCTCTGTGTCTATCTCTGTGTCCGTGTCTATCTGTGTCTCTGTGTCTATCTCTCTGTGTGTCTAGCCCTGTGTCTCGTTCCTGACTGTGTGTGTGCGTCATCTCTGTGTCTATTTGTGGGTCACTCTGTCTGTGTCTAATGTCTCTGTGTGTGTCTCTGTGTGTGTATCTGTGTGTGTCTATCTCTCTGCCTGTATATCTCTGTGTATCTGTGTCTGTCCTTGACTATCTCTGTCTCCGTGTGTCTCTCTGTGTCCGTGTCTATCTGTGTCTCTGCGTCTATCTTTCTGTGTGTCTATCTCTGTGTCTCTGTGTGCCTAGCCCTGTGTCTACAACCCCCCCCCTTCCCCCGTGTGTCTCGTCTCTGACTGTGTGTGTGTCTCAATCTCTGTGTCTCTCCGTGTGTCTATCTCTGTGTCCGTGTCTATCTCTGTCTCTGCGTCTATCTCTCTGTGTGCCTAGCCCTGTGTCTACAACCCCCCCCGTGTGTCTCTGACTGTGTGTGTGCGTCTCTGACTGTGTGTGTGTGTGTCTCTGTGTGTGTGTGTCTCGTCTCTGACTGACTGTGTGTGTGTGTCTCTGACTGACTGTGTGTGTGTGTCTCTGACTGTCTGTGTGTGTGTGTGTCTCTCTGACTGTGTGTGTGTGTCTCTCTGACTGTGTGTGTGTGTGTCTCTGACTGACTGTGTGTGTGTGTCTCTGACTGACTGTGTGTGTGCGTCTCTGACTGTGTGTGTGTGCGTCTCTGACTGTGTGTGTGTGTCTCTGACTGACTGTGTGTGTGTGTGTCTCTGACTGACTGTGTGTGTGTGCGTCATCTCCGCTGCATAGGCGCTGCTGTCCGCCTCGTGCTTCATGTCTCCCGCTGAGAGCCGCTCTTCGCAGCAGAGGAGCCGCGTCCGAATGTTCGGCCCCGAGTTGCTGTGCCGCTCGGTTCGCGAGCAGCGCTGGGACCGGGCGCGCGTCGTCTGCCGGCAGCCCTACAACTCGGTGAGCCCTGGGGGGACGGACGGACATGTACACGCATGCACGCACGTATGCTCACACGCTCGCTCGCTTGCATGTGTAATGGGTTCCGGAGACACTTGTAGAGGTAACTTCTTTATTACACTCCAACAGCACTCCAACAGTCCTGGTACTCTGTTACAGCCTAGGTACACGGCCTAGGTACACGGCCTAGGTACACGGCCTAGGTACACGGCCTAGGTACACGGCCTAGGTACACGGCCTAGGTACACGGCCTAGGTACACGGCCTAGCGACACGGCCTAGCGACACGGCCTAGGTACACGGCCTATAGCTGTATCAAGTGAGAAAAATTCACTTGATACAGCTATCGTGCTGTGATGGTTCCACCTGAAGACGGAGGCTTGTGTTGCCTCCGAAACGTCGTGATTTTTATTTAACTTTTATTAATTTAAAGTTTTTACCTACGTGACTTTACCGGAAAACAACCTAAGAATAAGATGATATGCCTGTCAACCCATACGATTTACCCGTATTTTTGTACAGGGAAATTGAGTTTTCAGGTCCAATCGGGCCACTGGTGGAGCCAGTGGGGGGGGGGGGGTTGGGGTGTCACGTGCCTCCCCAATGATCCGATCTAAATCCCTCATTTCGATCGGATCATTGGGGTTTATTAGTAATAAATCGGCATTTTGCGACCCTCACCGCCACCGTGTAGCATATTATTACGTGCCAGGGACTCTACGAGATGATAGGACAATAGTTTGAGTCCACGATTGTCAATAAGTAACGGCAAAGCGGTTATAAGTGACTCACAGAATTGTGCGCAGTTGCGTATAGAGTACACGACCGCCCTGAAGGCATTCACCTTCAGCGAGCGCGATGCCGATCGCACACGGTTCGAATTCGACCCTCGATCGATGTCTGCGCCATCGCCGCACACGCGTCGAAGACCCGGAGTTTTAATGTGGTGTCATTGAAGAGCTGGAGTGGAGGGTAGTGCGACAGGCCAAGTATGACTTCTGCTGCCGCAGCTGCCCATGAGAACCACCACCTATACTCATTTTCTTGGTTCTTTCGGTAAAGTCACGTAGAAGGGAAATAATAAAATAATAAAAATAAAACATTAAATAATTCTCACGACGTTTCGGCCACAACGCAAGCAGCCGTCCTCAGGTGGAGAACAGGTCTGTCGAGAAGACAGTTGTGTGTGCAATTGTGTGTCATTCAGAATCTGTCTACTCGACAGACCTGTTCTCCACCTGAGGACGGCTGCTTGTGTTGTAGCCGAAACGTCGTGAGAATTATTTTCTTATGTTTTATTTTTATTACTTTATTACTTCCCTTCTACGTGACTTTACCGAAAGAACCAAGAAGATGAATCCTTGCAGTCACGAAAGCTTTAAATCGAAACACCACCTATACTCTTAGGTTTTTTGGTAAAGTCACGTGGGTAAGAAATACAATTAAAATTAATAAAAGTAATAATAGAAATGAAATAATTTTATTTCATTTTTATTATTTTATTTCTGATAATTGGTTTTTTACCCTTCTATCTGGCAACAAAACTGACACCTTTTCTTTTACAAGGAGTCATGTTTGCATAGACCACAATACCTGCAGCCATAATGCAAACAAAAAACACAACTCTGATAATGTATGCACTGTCCTTGAGGTTGATTGGTCCACACCCGAGACAGCTTTCCTTAGAGCCTAGTCTCACATTGTGTTGGACCAGATGACTCCAAAAGGCGCACAACTCAAAGACAATGCACCATCAGAGTATGAGAGCTCGGGGTAAGCATTTACACCATTGGAACCTCATTTGCCAGTAAAAAATATGATAATTGTTTTTTTACCCTTCTATCTGGCAACAAAACTGACACCTTTTCTTTTACAAGGAGTCATGTTTGCATAGACCACAATACCTGCAGCCATAATGCAAACAAAAAACACAACTCTGATAATGTATGCACTGTCCTTGAGGTTGATTGGTCCACACCCGAGACAGCTTTCCTTAGAGCCTAGTCTCACATTGTGTTGGACCAGATGACTCCAAAAGGCGCACAACTCAAAGACAATGCACCATCAGAGTATGAGAGCTCGGGGTAAGCATTTACACCATTGGAACCTCATTTGCCAGTAAAAAATATGATAATTGTTTTTTTACCCTTCTATCTGGCAACAAAACTGACACCTTTTCTTTTACAAGGAGTCATGTTTGCATAGACCACAATACCTGCAGCCATAATGCAAACAAAAAACACAACTCTGATAATGTATGCACTGTCCTTGAGGTTGATTGGTCCACACCCGAGACAGCTTTCCTTAGAGCCTAGTCTCACATTGTGTTGGACCAGATGACTCCAAAAGGCGCACAACTCAAAGACAATGCACCATCAGAGTATGAGAGCTCGGGGTAAGCATTTACACCATTGGAACCTCATTTGCCAGTAAAAAATATGATAATTGTTTTTTTACCCTTCTATCTGGCAACAAAACTGACACCTTTTCTTTTACAAGGAGTCCTGTTTGCATAGACCACAATACCTGCAGCCATAATGCAAACAAAAAACACAACTCTGATAATGTATGCACTGTCCTTGAGGTTGATTGGTCCACACCCGAGACAGCTTTCCTTAGAGCCTAGTCTCACATTGTGTTGGACCAGATGACTCCAAAAGGCGCACAACTCAAAGACAATGCACCATCAGAGTATGAGAGCTCGGGGTAAGCATTTACACCATTGGAACCTCATTTGCCAGTAAAAAATATGATAATTGTTTTTTTACCCTTCTATCTGGCAACAAAACTGACACCTTTTCTTTTACAAGGAGTCATGTTTGCATAGACCACAATACCTGCAGCCATAATGCAAACAAAAAACACAACTCTGATAATGTATGCACTGTCCTTGAGGTTGATTGGTCCACACCCGAGACAGCTTTCCTTAGAGCCTAGTCTCACATTGTGTTGGACCAGATGACTCCAAAAGGCGCACAACTCAAAGACAATGCACCATCAGAGTATGAGAGCTCGGGGTAAGCATTTACACCATTGGAACCTCATTTGCCAGTAAAAAATATGATAATTGTTTTTTTACCCTTCTATCTGGCAACAAAACTGACACCTTTTTTATAAGGACTATTATTACTTTTAAATTAAAATTTATATTTAAATTAATACAAGTAATAATAGAAATAAAATAATTTTATTTAAGTTTAATTATTTTATTTCTGTTACTTTTGTTATTTTTATTTTATTTTTTACCTACGTGACTTTACCGAAAAACCTAATAGTATGAATCATTTGCAGTCACGAAAGCTTCAAATCTAGAACCACCACCTAGCTGCGAAAATTGTGTTCTGCCCTTGGCGAGGGAGATGTCTGCTCCCAACCTGGCTGTGCGCAGTTACACTACTGGTGAATAACCCCGTGTCTGTGTCTCCGTGTCCCCGTGTCTGTGTCTCCGTGTCCCCGTGTCTGTGTCTTCATGTCCCCGTGTTCTTGTGTCTGAATATCTGCGTGTCTGTGTCTCCGTGTCCCCGTGTCCTTGTCTGAATATCTGCATGTCTGTGTCTCCATGTCCCTGTGTCCTTGTGTCTGAATATCTGCATGTCTGTGTCTCCGTGTCCCCGTGTCTCCGTGTCCCCGTGTCTCCGTGTCTGTGTCTCCATGTCCTTGTGTCTGAATGTCTGCATGTCTGTGTCTCCGTGTCCCTGTGTCTGTGTCTCCGTGTCCCCGTGTCCGTGTGTTTGAATATCTGCGTGTCTGTGTCTCCATGTCCTTGTGTCTGAATGTCTGCATGTCTGTGTCTCCGTGTCCCTGTGTTTGTGTCTCCATGTCCCCATGTCCGTGTCTGAATATCTGCATGTCTGTGTCCCCGTGTCTGTCTCCGTGTCTCCGTATCCCCGTGTCTGTGTCTCCGTGTCTGTGTCTCCGTGTCTGTGTCCCCGTGTCTGTGTCTCCGTGTCCCCGTGTCCGTGTGTTTGAATATCTGCGTGTCTGTGTCTCCATGTCCTTGTGTCTGAATGTCTGCATGTCTGTGTCTCCGTGTCCCTGTGTCTGTGTCTCCGTGTCCCCGTGTCCGTGTGTTTGAATATCTGCGTGTCTGTGTCTCCATGTCCTTGTGTCTGAATGTCTGCATGTCTGTGTCTCCGTGTCCCCGTGTCTGTGTCTCCGTGTCCCCGTGTCTGTGTCTCCGTGTCTGTGTCCCCGTGTCTGTGTCTCCGTGTCTGTGTCCCCGTGTCTGTGTCTCCGTGTCTGTGTCCCCGTGTCTGTGTCTCCGTGTCTGTGTCCCCGTGTCTGTGTCTCCGTGTCTGTGTCCCCGTGTCTGTGTCTCCGTGTCTGTGTCTCCGTGTCCGTGTGTTTGAATATCTGCGTGTCTGTGTCTCCATGTCCTTGTGTCTGAATGTCTGCATGTCTGTGTCTCCGTGTCCCTGTGTCTGTGTCTCCGTGTCTGTGTCTCCGTGTCCCCATGTCCGTGTCTGAATATCTGCATGTCTGTGTCCCCGTGTCTGTGTCTCCGTGTCTCCGTATCCCCGTGTCTGTGTCTCCGTGTCTGTGTCCCCGTGTCCCCGTGTCCGTGTGTTTGAATATCTGCGTGTCTGTGTCTCCATGTCCTTGTGTCTGAATGTCTGCATGTCTGTGTCTCCGTGTCCCTGTGTCTGTGTCTCCGTGTCTGTGTCTCCGTGTCCCCATGTCCGTGTCTGAATATCTGCATGTCTGTGTCCCCGTGTCTGTGTCTCCGTGTCCCCGTGTCTGTGTCTCCGTGTCCCCGTGTCCCCGTGTCTGTGTCCCCGTGTCTGTGTCTCCGTGTCTGTGTCTCCGTGTCTGTGTCCCTGTGTCTGTGTCTCCGTGTCCGTGTCTGTGTCCCCGTGTCTGTGTCTCCGTGTCCGTGTGTTTGAATATCTGCGTGTCTGTGTCTCCATGTCCTTGTGTCTGAATGTCTGCATGTCTGTGTCTCCGTGTCCCTGTGTCTGTGTCTCCGTGTCTGTGTCTCCGTGTCCCCATGTCCGTGTCTGAATATCTGCATGTCTGTGTCCCCGTGTCTGTGTCTCCGTGTCCCCGTGTCTATGTCTCCGTGTCTCCGTGTCCCCGTGTCTGTGTCTCCGTGTCCCCCCCGCCCCCATCTCCACGCCAGTCCCTGGCGTATGGCCTCGCGTTCATCCGCTTCAACTCGGTCCCTGAGGATTCCTCCACAGACGACGCTCCGCAAGCCAAGCAGGTGCAGCCCGGCGCCTCTCCCGTGAACCCCCATCTCCCTTCGGTGACCCCCATCCCTTCGGTGACACCCATCCCTTCGGTGACACCCATCCCCTCACCTGGTATACAGGAGGTCGTGGGTTTGACCCCGACCCTGACTACCCGGTGACTAGGAGATGTTAACTACCTCACCTGGTACACAGGAGGTCGTGGGTTTGATTCCGAACCTGATGCCACGGTGGCTATGAGATGTTAACTACCTCACCTGGTACACAGGAGGTCGTGGGTTTGATTCCGAACCTGATGCCACGGTGGCTATGAGATGTTAACTACCTCACCTGGTACACAGGAGGTCGTGGGTTTGATTCCGAACCTGATGCCACGGTGGCTATGAGATGTTAACTACCTCACCTGGTACACAGGAGGTCGTGGGTTTGATTCCGAACCTGATTCCACGGTGGCTACGAGATGTTAACTACCTCACCTGGTACACAGGAGGTCGTGGGTTCGACCCCGACCCTGACTACCCGGTGACTAGGAGATGTTAACTACCTCACCTGGTACACAGGAGGTTGTGGGTTTGACCCCGACCCTGACTACCCGGTGACTAGGAGATGTTAACTACCTCACCTGGTACACAGGAGGTTGTGGGTTTGACCCCGACCCTGACTACCCGGTGACTAGGAGATGTTAACTACCTCACCTGGTACACAGGAGGTCGTGGGTTTGACCCCGACCCTGACTACCCGGTGGCTAGGAGATGTTAACTACCTTGCTTGGTTTACAGGAGTGCGTGGGTTCGATCCCAGACGCTGACACCTGCTGCTGTATATAGTTTGCATCTTGCTTGCTCTCTCTCTTGCCCCGTGGTGGCCGGGTGCTTTTTTTTCTTTCTCCGTGTCCTCCGCTTTTTTAAATCCTTTATATTAAGTTCGCTTGCGTGCTTGCTTGCTTGCTTACGACCGTGCAAACCATTCGGTCGTTTTTTAACCCACTTCCCGTGATCCAATCGAGCTGACATTTTGCACACAGACTCGTTGTGCGAGACAATTAATGTTCGTGAAAAAAAAATTCCAAAATGTTACACTGTTTAGGGAAAACAAATTAAATATTTAATTACCAATTGTTTAATACTGGCAGACAATCATCTGACCCATAGGTGGCAGCCATCTCAAGCCAGAGGACGAGAGGACTCTAGCCGCCACGCATATAAAGGATTTAGAGTGAACAACTTTGTTTTTACGGGTTATACTTGTTATCCCCTCCACATTTAGAATCAACGTGCATTGAAATTTTTAAAGATTATTTTTGCTGCCGTAAGTTTTCCAAATGATTGGGCCCACTTCGGTTGACCTACTATCATTTGTGGTAGCCAGGTCGCATCTGAAAAATAAGTGAATGGCTCCAGTGGCCTTTGCCTGCTAGGATGGTGGATGGTTTCGTTGGTATTTGTACGTGCGTTGGGTGATTTTTAAGACCTTTTTTGTACTTTGCACTATTTCATTACACCTCCTTTGCCAGTACCAACATATAATAATAGGGTTTTTCCCACTCATACTCTTAGGTTTTTAAATCCTTTATATTAAGTTCACTTGCTTGCTTGCTTAGGACCGTGCAAATCTTTCGGTCGTTTTTTAACCCACTTCCCGTGATCCAATCGAGCTGATATTTTCCACACAGACTTGTTGTGCGTGACAATTAATGTTCGTGAAAATTTTTTAGCAAAATTTTACACTTTAGGACTAAAAATTATATTTAATTACCAATTGCTTAATGCTGCCATGCAATCATCTGACCCATAGGTGGCAGCCATCTCAAGCCAGAGGACGAGAGGACTCTAGCCGCCACGCATATAAAGGATTTATAGTGAAAAACTTTGTTTTTACGGGTTATACTTGTTTTCCGGTAAAGTCACGTAGGTAAAATAATAATAATAAAATACAATAATAATGAATGAAAATAACTAAATAAAATCACGACGTTTCGGAGGCAACACAAGTCTCCGTCTTCAGGTGGGACCGTCACAGACAAATTTACTGTGTCAAGTGGGGGGTGGGGTGGGGTGGCACGTGCCCCCCCAATGATCCGATCTAAATCCCTCATTTCGATCGGATCGTTGGGGTTTATTAGTAATAAATCGGCATTTTGCGACCCTCACTGCCACTGTGTAGCATATTTTTACGTGCCAGGGACTCTACGAGATGATAGGACAATAGTTTGAGTCCACGATTGTCAATAAGTAACGACAAAGCGGTTATAAGTGACTCACAGAATTGTGCGCAGTTGCGTATAGAGTACACGACCGCCCTGAAGGCATCATACTTTCAGCGAGCGCGATGCCGATCACACACGGTTCGAATTCGACCCTCGATCGATGACTGCGCCACCAGAGACCCGATGTTGAGCGTGGTGCTGTATCAAGTGGTACACTAAGTTTAGCTTTGACGGTCCCACCTGAAGACGGAGACTTGTGTTGCCTCCGAAACGTCGAAATTTAATTTAGTTATTTTCATGTATTTTTTTTTTTAAATCCTTTATATTAAGTTCGCTTGCTTGCTTAGGACCGTGCAAATCTTTCGGTCGTTTTTTAACCCACTTCCCGTGATCCAATCGAGCTGACATTTTGCACACAGACTCGATGCCACGCATATAAAGAATTTGTTGAAAAACTTTGTTTTTACGGGTTTACTTGTACCTACGTGACTTTACCGGAGTGTGAATCCTTGCAGTCACGAAAGCTTCAAATCTAGGGGTTTTCTCCTTTTTTCTGGCAACAAAACTGAAACCTTTTTGCGAGGAATCATGTTACTGCATTAACCACAATACTTGCGGTCACAATGCAAACAAAAAACACTCTAATATATTGGCATTGTCCTTGAAGCTGATTGGTCCACACCAGAGACAGCTTTCTTTTGAGCCTCGTCTCAATTGGTGCTGCACCAGATGACGCCAAAAGGCGCACAGCTCAAAGACAATGCACTATCAGAGTAACGAGGGCTCGGGGTGAGCATCTACATCAGGGGTCGGCAACCAAAATAACAAGAAGAGCCATTTCTTTCCAATTCGGTACAAAATTCAGTATTTCAAGAGCCGCAATGCATCTGAGTACATACGTACTCATCGTCAAGAAGCAGCCCGTAAAGAGCCGCATGCGGCTCCGGAGCCGTAGGTTGCCGACCCCTGATCTACATCATTAGACCTCCATTGCCAGTACCAAAATATAATAATAGGGTTTTTCCCCTTTTTTCTGGCAACAAAACTGAAACCTTTTTACAAGGATTCATGTTACTACATTAACCACAATACTTGCAGTCAAAATGCAAAGAAAGCTGTCTCTTGATGTGGACCAATCAGTTTCGAGGACAATGCATATATTGTAATAGTAATAGGTTTTTACCCTTTCAACTGGTACAAAAACTGACACCTTTATACAAGGCATCATGTTTGCAATAACCACAACACAAGCAGTCAAAATGCAAACAAAAAGAAACAACTCTGATGATAATAATGATATACACACCAATGGAGACTCGGCTCTAAGGAAAGCTGTCTCGGGTGTGGACCAATCAACTTCAAGGACAGTGCATATCATTATCATCATCAGAGTTGTTTCTTTTTGTTTGCATTTTGACTGCTTGTGTTGTGGTTATTGCAAACATGATGCCTTGTATAAAGGTGTCAGTTTTTGTACCAGTTGAAAGGGTAAAAACCTACTACTATATTTGCCACTGGTAAAGGAGGTCTCATAGTGTAAATGCATATATTATCAGTGTGTTTTTTGTTTGCATTTTGACCACAAGTATTGTGGTTAATGCAGTAACATGATTCCTTGTAAAAAGGTTGCAGTTTTGTTGCCAGAGAAAATGGGAAAAACCCTCTTATTATACTTTGCACTTTCGATTTAAAGCTTTTGTGACTGCAGGGATTCATCTTCTTGGTTCTTTCGGTAAAGTCATCACGTAGAATGGAAATAATAAAAAATAAGTTGACGTTCCTCACCTGAGGACGGCTGCTTGCGTTGTGGCCGAAACGTCGTGAGAATTATTTTATTACGTTTTTATTTTTTGCTATTTTATTATTTCCATTCTACGTGACTTTACCGAAAGAACCAAGAAGATGAATCTTTGCACTCTTGCCGTGTTTGTGCGTATTGTATTGGACCATCCGTAAAAAAAGAGCTTCATAGCTTATCGGATTCCTCCAGCAGTATATATATAAATGTTATGATGCTGCTTCTCGCACATCGCACGGTCTTGACGACAAAGACGGCAATAACCTCCCAGGATGGCCACCGTCAGCTCGTGCTCGATGCACTTGGCGGGAAAAATTTCCCCTCACGGATTGCTCACCCCCCCCCCGCCTCCTCCTCCTCCGTGCGTCTGTGTCCCTGCCCCCCCCCCCCACCTGGGTCTGGGCAGTAGCAGGAGCAGCGACTGGGCGGGTTCCGTCTTCGTGACGACGTCCCGAGCAGCAGCAGCGGCGGCGGCTGCCTCGCCCCGGGTGGACTCTTCTCTTCCCGCCAGCGTCACCCCCTCCTGCTCACCCCCCCCACACCCCCGCCCCTCACAGTCAGAGTCACCCCCCCCCCCCCCCCTTCTTCACCCGCCACACCACCGGGCGTACAATGGCCGAGTCGGGCTCGTGCTGTCGAGATGTTAACTCCCTCGCCTGGTAGGCAGGGAGAGTCGTCGTTTCGATCCCGACATCCCCCAATGTCTGTTACGTGGAAACACCCCGAAACTTTCGCTGTGGCGTATGCATACGGTATATAGTCTATTACACTGGTCAACACACTTTGCCTGGCATAAGGTATTCCAATGGTTTTAAGGTAATTTTGTGGTGTGTGCTGATTCCAAATCTGGCATCAGCTGTCTCGGGTGTGGACCAATCAACTTCAAGGACAGTGCATACATTATCAGAGTTGTGTTTTTTGTTTGCATTATGACTGGGTAACATGTTGTAAATATGACAAGGTGCAATTTTGTAGATAAAATGTTAAAGTATAAAAGTCATTTTAAGCCCTTGGCCTTGCTGAAGAGGCCAACAGCGGATGGGAAGAAACTGTTTTTAAATCTTTTATATTAAGTTCACTTGCTTGCTTGCTTACGACCGTGCAAATCTTTCGGTCGTTTTTTAACCCACTTCCCGTGATCCAATCGAGCTGACATTTTGCACACAGACTCGTTGTGCGTGACAATTTATTTTCGTGAAAAATTTTTTCCAAAATTTTACACTTTTTAGGAATTTATTTTTTATATTTAATTACCAATTGCTTAATGGTGGCAGGCAATCATCTGACCCATAGGTGGCAGCCATCTAAAGCCAGAGGACGAGAGGACTCTAGCCGCCACGCATATAAAGGATTTCTAGTGAAAAACTTAGTTTTTAAGGCCCCGTCACAGAAACGACCCCCTCTCTTTGTGCCGATATGTGTTCTTTCTCCGTGTGTCCTTGTGATGTCTGTCTGCTTGTATGTCTGTCTATAGTTTTCTAGTTAGATTTTTGTTGCTATTTCTTTTATGCCTGATGATGATTGCTTGTGTTGCAATCGAAACGTCGTAATATGCCATTATTTAATTTATTATTTTATCTTTAGACGTCACTTTACCGAAAGAACCAAAGAACAGAGGAGGCTAAACGGGCGCGGCACGAGCTAGACAAGAGATTGACAGATGTGCGGCACAGGAGGATGTCGAGCTGATTGGTCTTGCCGATGACCGGCCTCTGTGCTGAAGGCGTGTTGAGGATGCTATTTGGCAGTGCCAGCCTAGGTGCACCTTGAGGCTAATAATGGTCAGTTGGAGGTAGTTGCCCTAACAGCAACAATGGAGGTCGGAGGTGCATCTGTCAGCCATCTCGGTCTGTCAACGAAATACCGCCTGGGTCTGGCCCATGACCTGCTTTTTAGCAGGCGACCATTCCACGCTTTACATGGCCTCAAAGTTCACCGAGCCTGGCACAGGCGCCGTGGTGACGTCACTTGGTGACGAATGGCGAGTATTGGTGTGTGGGGAGCGGTAGTGTAGCGGTTAGCGTGCCGCGCTACGAACCCGGCGACCCAAGTTTTGATTCGCACTCGCGGCCAACACCAGTGACGATTAGCTGAACCTGTCATGGGCCTCCCCTAGGTCGACACAGCCTCTAATGGAACGTCTGCGCCGGTTAGAAACATTCAGACTGGCCTGCCCTACGATCTATCCTGGATTTAACCAGGCTTGATTGTGTGAGGAGCTCACAAATCCTTGAAAGATCTGGGCAAAGTCCCATCGGTGAGCTTCTCCGGCAGGCAAGGCTGCATTGGCTGGGTCATGTAGCCCGCATGCCCAGCCACCGAATGCCTAAACAGCTTTTGTTAGGCCGCATAGAGGGGGCTAAACGGGCACGACATTGGCTGGAGAAGAGATGGACTGATGGATGTGGAGCCGAGTGGACTTGCCGAACACTGGTACCAGCGGTATGATCAGCCTCTATGCTCGTGAAGGACGCTACTGCGCAGTTGGAGGCAGTTGTCCATAAACAACAACTGCGGGCAGAGGAGCGACGCTCACAACAACGAGCGGAGCGCCGGGCGGCTAAAATGCTGCAAGTTGGCACAGTAGGGGGTACTGCTGGTACATCTACCAGTCATCTCGGTCAGCCAGCCCATGGCACCTGGGTCTGTCCAGAGACCTCCTGTTAGCGAGCCGTCGACACTTCACGTGCACCTGGCCTGGCACAGGCGTTGTGGTGACGTCACCGTTACTTATTGGCGAATGGCGGGTATTGGTATTGATTCATCTTCTTGGTTCTTTCGGTAAAGTCACGTAGAAGGGAAATAATAAAATAATAAAAATTAAACATAATAAAATAATTCTCACGACGTTTCGGCCACAACGCAAGCAGCCGTCCTCAGGTGAAGAACAGGTCTGTCGGAAAGACGCGTCTGTCGGAAAGACAGCGTTCATTCAGACGCTGTCTTTCCGACAGACCTGTTCTTCACCTGAGGACGGCTGCTTGCGTTGTGGCCGAAACGTCGTGAGAATTGTATTTTATTATGTTTTATTTTTATTATTTTATTACTTCCCTTCTACGTGACGACTTTACCGAAAGAACCAAGAAGATGAATCCCTGCAGTCACGAAAGCTTTAAATCGAAAATTTGGTATTGATTGTTGACTGTTTCTGTGTTCATAGCTCTGAGCTATGCCAGGGCTGCACTGGGCGATCTACCTGGGTCTCCCTCCTCACCCAGCTCCACCATCAAGCCCCAGGTCTCCTCACTTCCCGTATCTCTCTTTCTCAGTGTCCCATGTCTCTCTGTCTCGGACTCTCTTTGTCTCAGTGTCCCGTGTCTCTGCCTCAGTGTCTCTGTGTCTTAGCGTCCATTGTCTCAGTGTCTCTCTGTCTCAGTGTGCCGTGTCTCTCTGTCTCAGTGTGCCGTGTCTCTGTCCTGTGTCTCTCTGTCTCAGACTGTCTCTGTCTCAGTGTCTCTGTCTCAGTGTGCCGTGTCTCTCTGTCTCAGTGTGCCGTGTCTCTGTCCTGTGTCTCTCTGTCTCAGACTCTCTTTGTCTCAGTGTCCTGTGTCTCAGTGTCTCTGTGTCTAAGTGTCTGTGTCTAAGTGTCTCTGTCTCAGTGTCTTAGCGTCCATTGTTTCAGTGTCTCTCATTCTCAGTGTGCCATGTCTCTCTGTCTCAGTGTCTCTACCTCAGTGTCTCTCTGTCTCAGTGTGCCGTGTCTCTACCTCACTGTCTCTGTGTCTCGGTGTCCTGTGTCTCAGTGTCCTGTGTCTCAGTGTCCTGTATCTCTCTGTCTCAGTGTGCCCCGTGTCTCTGTCCCGTGTCTCTGTGTCTCAGTGTCTCTCTGTCTCAGTGTGCCGTGTCTCTGTCCTGTGTCTCTCTGTCTCAGTGTCCTGTGTTTGTCTCCGTGTTTCTCTGTCTCAGTGTGCCGTGTCTCTGTCCTGTGCCTCTCTGCTCTCAGGCCGTGTGCCTCAAGAGGAAGTTTGACTTGCCCGTGACCTCCCAACCACGGAAGAGGCGGCCGCAGGGCGAGTGGGGCGGAGGTGGAGGAGGGGGAGGAGGAGGGGGACAAGGTGGACAAGGTGGACAAGGTGGAGGAGGAGAGGGCCTCCTGATGGACCCTTCACGAGGTTTGTGTCTCCGGGTTGCGCTGCTCAGATGGGGATGTTAACTACCTCGCCTGGTATACAGAATTGTGGGTTCGATCCCGACCCTGGCTACCCGGTGGCGAGGAGATGTTAACTACCTCGACTGGTATACAGACGCTGTCTTTCCGACAGACCTGTTCTTCACCTGAGGGACGGCTGCTTGCGTTGTGGCCGAAACGTCGTGAGAATTGTATTTTATGATGTTTTATTTGTATTATTTTATTATTTCCCTTCTACGTGACTTTACTGAAAGAACCAAGAAGATGAATCCCTGCAGTCACGAAAGCTTTGAATCGAAATTTGGTATACAGAAGGTCGTGGGTTCGACTCCGGATCCTGAGACTGCCTGCTGCTGTATCTTCGGAGTGAGCAGTCTTTCTCGCTCTCCCTTGGTGGTCGCGTGGATTTTTCTCCAGGTCTTCCACTTTTTAAATCCTTTATATTAAGTTCGCTTGCTTGCTTGCTTGCTTGCGCGCTTACGACCGTGCAAATCTTTCGGTCGTTTTTTATTTAAATCTTTTATATTAAGTTCACTTGCTTGCTTGCTTGCGTGCTTACGACCGTGCAAATCTTTCGGTCGTTTTTTATTTAAATCCTTTATATTAAGTTCACTTACTTGCTTGCTTGCGTGCTTACGACCGTGCAAATCTTTCGGTCGTTTTTTAACCCACTTCCCGTGATCCAATCGAGCTGACATTTTGCACACAGACTCGTTGTGCGTGACAATTTCTTTTCGTGAAAAAAACATTTCCAAAATTTTCCACTTTTTAGGAAAAAAACATTTCATATTTAATTTAAAATACCAATGTGATAAAAATGAAACTCTTACTCAAGAAAAACTGAAATGAATAATAAAATAAAACCGATGCCACGCATATAAAGGATTTATAGTGAAAAACTTTGTTTTTACGGGTTAATTTTTTATCCCCTCCACATTTACAATCAGCGTTACCGTGCATTTTTGAGTGATTTGGCTCCTGCTATGAATTTGATCGCGATGGTGAGAAGCCACTACTTTGTTGGGCTACCATTGCTGATAACCAGGTCGCTGCTTCTGAAAAAATAGCTACTCAGTGGGGCCTTACCCACTTCTAGAATAAAACAAATAGTAGACTCTATGGGAACCTCATTTGCCAGTAAAAATATGATAATTGGTTTTATACCCTTCTATCTGGCAACAAAACTGACACCTTTTTACAAGGAGTCATGTTTGCATAGACCGCAATACCTGCGGTCATAATGCAAACAAAAGACATAACTCTGATAATGTATGCACTGTCCTTGAAGTTGATTGGTCCACACCCGAGACAGCTTTCCTTAGAGCCTAGTCTCACATGGGTTGGACCAGATGACGCCAAAAGGCGCACAACTCAAAGACAATGCACCATCAGAGTATGAGAGCTCGGGGCAAGCATCTACACTATGGGAACCTCATTTGCCAGTAAAAATATGATAATTGTTTTTTTACCCTTCTATCTGGCAACAAAACTGACACCTTTTTACAAGGAGTCATGTTTGCATAGACCAATCAACTTCAAGGACAGTGCACATTATCAGAGTTATGTTTTTTGTTTGTATTATGACTGCAGGTATTGCGGTCTAAGCAAACATGACTCCTTGTAAAAAGGTGTCAGTTTTGTTGCCAGATAAATACTCTCAATTATCCGCATGCGGTTTTTAACAAGAATTAATGAAGTGATAGGTTTTTGCCCTTTCAACTGGTACAAAAACTGACACCTGTATACAAGGCATCATGTTTGCAATAACCACAACACAAGCAGTCAAATTGCAAACAAAAAGAAACAACTCTGATGATGATAATGATATGCACTGTCCTTGAAGTTGATTGGTCCACACCTGAGACAGCTTTTTTGTACCAGTTGAAAGGGTAAAAACCTACCACTATATTTTGCCACTGATAAAGGAGGTCTCGTAGTGTAAATGCTTACCCCGAGCTCTCAATACTCTGATAGTGCGCTGTCTTTGAGTTGTACGCCTTTTGGCGTCATCTGGTCCAACACCAATGGAGACTAGGCTCTAAGAAAAGCTGTCTTGGGTGTGGACCAATCAACTTCAAGGACAGTGCATATCATTATCAGAGTTGTGTGATAATTGTAAGTGTGAGAGTGTGTGGTGTGTGTGGTGAGCGTGTGTGTGGTGGAGTGAGGGATGGAGCTCTCTCTCTCTCCTTCTCGGAGGTGGTGGAGGCCGGAGAGAAGGAGCAGCTGCATCACCTGCACAGAGCTCGTTCGCGCGGAGCAGCAGCAGCAGCAGCAGCAACAACAACAACAACAACCACAACAACAACAACCACGGGGCGAGCAAAGCCGGTGGGTGGTTGGGAGCAGTGAGAGAGTGAGCGTGAATGAGTGAGCTTGAGAGATGGTGAATGTGAAAGAGTGCGGGGTGAGTGAGTGTGTGTGTGCCTGCCCACCATCATGAAGGTCTTTAATGATTGTGAACAGTGGAACCCCAAACGCACAGAATAAAACAAATACCTGGCCTATTGATTTTATCATAGGCCTTACCAGGTTAATATAGTAGCTATGTAGGTCCGCTTTAAAATCCCTACACCTCTGTTGCTATAGCAGATGGACAGAGAATATGGCATCCTTGTAGGACTCAAACCACATTGGGGCTCCGCAAACCTCTATCCAGCCACACGCTCCACTATCCAGCCACTCACTCCACTACCCAGCCACTCACTCCACTACCCAGCCACACACTCCACTACCCAGCCACACACTCCACTACCCACACACTCCACTACCCAGCCACACACTCCACTACCCAGCCACACACTCCACTACCCAGCCACTCACTCCACTACCCAGCCACTCACTCCACTACCCAGCCACACACTCCACTACCCAGCCACTCACTCCACTACCCAGCCACTCACTCCACTACCCAGCCACTCACTCCACTACCCAGCCACTCACTCCACTACCCAGCCACACACTCCACTACCCAGCCACTCACTCCACTACCCAGCCACTCACTCCACTACCCAGCCACACACTCCACTACCCAGCCACTCACTCCCACTACCCAGCCACTCACTCCACTACCCAGCCACTCACTCCACTACCCAGCCACTCACTCCACTACCCAGCCACTCACTCCACTACCCAGCCACTCACTCCACTACCCAGCCACTCACTCCACTACCCAGCCACTCACTCCACTACCCAGCCACACACTCCACTACCCACACACTCCACTACCCAGCCACTCGCTCCACTACCCAGCCACACGCTGCACTACCCAACCACGCACTCCACTACCCACACACTCCACTACCCAGCCACACGCTCCACTACCCAGCCACACGCTGCACTACCCAACCACGCACTCCACTACCCACACACTCCACTACCCAGCCACACGCTCCACTACCCACACACTCCACTACCCAGCCACACGCTCCACTACCCACACACTCCACTACCCACACACTCCACTATCCAGCCACTCACTCCACTACCCAGCCACACACTCCACTACCCACACACTCCACTACCCAGCCACACACTCCACTATCCAGCCACTCACTCCACTACTCCGCCACACACTCCACTACCCAGCCTCATGCCCCACTATCCAGCCATACACCTGCCTGGGTATTTTGTGTCATCAAACACTCCATCCCCTCCGCTGCCCATGTGGAGAGCGTGGATGTTTTCACATACCCAGGCCAGATTCGAAGCAAGTGGCATTTATCTTGTATCTTCTGTTTAACGCTGCTGTGTGGAAGATGCCTGGTATGTCGCTCCATACAAAGCTGCAGGTCTTCTCGGCCCTCCCTTGTCGATGCTTGTGAAACGTGGACCCCTCTAATGGAACATCTTCGGCAGTTAGAGCCATTCAGGCTGGCCTGCCTATGATCTATCCTGCGTTTAACCAGGCTGGATTGTGTGAGGAGCTCACAATCCTTGAAAGATCTGGACACATTCCCATCAGTGAGCTCCTCTGGCAGGCAAGGTTGCGTTGGCTGGGTCACGTAGCCTGCATGCCAAGCCAGCGCATGCCCAAGCACCTTTTGTTTGGCCGGATAGAGGGGGTTTAAACGTGCAACGGTATGGGCTCGAGAAGAGATGGACTGGTGCGGTACAGCTGGAGGTTCGTGAAGGACGCAGCAACAGCGGAGGGCAAAGGAGGGACGCTCACAACAATAGGCAGAGCACGGGGCAATGAGAACGCAGTAAGTTGGCACAGCAAAGGGCACAGGTAGTGCATCTGCCAGTAATTTCTGTAAGTCAACCCACGGCACCAGGGTCTGTCCCGTTACTTCCTACCAGCGAGGCCTGATGGTGCACCTAGCCTGGCACAAGTGCCGTGGTGATGTCACCGCCACTTAGTGGTGACCGGTGGCTATTGTTGGTGGTTATGGCGTTTTGATGGTTGTGATGGTGGTGATGGTGGTGACGGTGTTGACGATGCTTGTGATGGTGGTGGTCGTAATGGTGGTGATCATGGTGATGGTGGTCGTGATGATGACAATGGTGGTGGTGGTGATGATGATGATGATCATCATAATGATGGTGGTGGTTACAGTGGTGATGGTTGTGGTTGTGACGATAATTATTGTGGTTATGGTGGTGACGATAGTGGTGACGACGATGGTGGAGATGATGATGATGTTGATGATGGTGATGCTGACAGTGGGGTGAAGAGGGTGGTGACGGTGGTGATGATGATGATAGCGGTGGTGATGATGGTAGTGGTGGTGATGATGGTAGTGGTGGTGATGATGGTAGTGGTAGTGACGGTGGCGGTGATAATGATGATGATAGCGGTGGTGATTATCGTAGTGGTGGTGATGATGGTAGTGGTGGTGATGATGATGATGGTGGTGGTGATGATGATGATGGTGGTGGTGGTGATGATGATGGTAGCGGTGGTGATGATGGTAGCGGTGATGATGATGGTAGTGGTGGTGATGATCGTAGCGGTGGTGAGGATGGTCGTGGTGGTGACGATGGTAGCGGTGGTGATGACGGTAGTGGTGGTGATGATGGTAGCGTTGATGATGATGGTAGTGGTGGTGATTATGGTAGTGGTGGTGATTATGGTAGTGGTGGTGATGATGGTAGCGGTGGTGATGATGGTAGCGGTGGTGATGATGGTAGCGGTGGTGATGATGGTAGTGGTGTTGATTATGGTAGCGGTGGTGATGATGGTAGCGGTGGTGATGATGGTAGTGGTGGTGATGATGGTAGAGGTGGTGACGATGGTGGCGACGGTGATGATGATAATGACGATGGTGGTGGTGACTCCGAGGCTGCCCGTTGCGCTAACCGCCCCACCCCCCCCCACCTGATCTGCCCCCCACCCCAACAGGCAGCGCTCGTGGGGTCAGGTCCCCTCCCCCGGCAGCTTCTGCCCCCCCCGCGTCTCCTGGCCAGCCTGCGCTGTGCGGGGTGGTGGTCTCGCTCAGCGGCTTCACCAACCCCCTGCGCTCCACGCTGCGCGACCTGGCCCTGGGGCTGGGCGCTCGCTACCGGCCCGACTGGGGACCGGGCTGCACCCACCTCGTGTGAGATACGGGGGGGGAGGGGGGGGGGCGAGAAGGGGGCACCGGGGGGGGGGCGGGGCGGGTGAGAAGGGGGCACTGGGGGGGGCACGGGGGGGGCACTGGGGGGGTGAGAGTAGCACAGGGGGGAGGTCATGGGGAACCACACTCATCCCCCGACATTCCTCCCCCTTGATCTGTTTTTCCCTCATCTCCACGTCTGTGTCTCCCCTGTGTTTCCGTGTCCCACCCCTCTGCGTGTCTCACCCCCGCGTCTCACCCTCGCGTCTCTTCCCGTGTCTCTTCCCGTGTCTCCATGTGACCCCGTGTCTTCCCACGTCTCAACTCGTCACCGCGTCTCTCCCCGCGTCTCTCCCCGCGTCTCTCCCCGCGTCTCTCCCCGCGTTTCCCCGCATCTCAACTTGTCTACCCATGTCACCCCGTGTCTCCCCGTGTCTCCATGTGACCCCGTGTTTTCCCACGTCTCAACTCGTCACCCCGTCTCTCCCCGCGTCTCTCCCCGCGTCTCTCCCCGCGTCTCTCCCCGCGTCTCTCCCCGCGTTTCCCCGCATCTCAACTTGTCTCCCCGTGTCTCCCCGTGTCTCCCCACGTCTCAGCTGTGCGTTTGCCCGCACACCCAAGAGCCGTCAGGCGCAGGCTGCCGGGGCTCTCGTGGTGCGGAGAGAGTGGCTGGAGGACAGCGCCGCCCAGGGTCGGAGACTCGCAGAGCGCCGGTGAGACACGGGGAGACACGGGGAGACATGGGGAGACACGGGGAGACACGGGGTGACACGGGGTGAGAAGGGGAGACACGGGTGAGAAGGGGAGACACGGGGAGACACGGGCAGACACGGGCAGACACGGGGAGACACGGGTGACAAGGGGAGACACGGGTGACAAGGGGAGACACGGGTGACAAGGGAAGACACGGGTGAGAAGGGGAGACACGGGTGAGAAGGGGAGACACGGGTGAGAAGGGGAGACACGGGTGAGAAGGGGAGACACGGGTGAGAAGGGGAGACACGGGTGAGAAGGGGAGACACGGGTGAGAAGGGGAGACACGGGTGAGAAGGGGAGACACGGGTGAGAAGGGGAGACACGGGTGAGAAGGGGAGACACGGGTGAGAAGGGGAGACACGGGTGAGAAGGGGAGACACGGGTGAGAAGGGGAGACACGGGTGAGAAGGGGAGACACGGGTGAGAAGGGGAGACACGGGTGAGAAGGGGAGACACGGGTGAGAAGGGGAGACACGGGTGAGAAGGGGAGACACGGGTGAGAAGGGGAGACACGGGTGAGAAGGGGAGACACGGGTGAGAAGGGGAGACACGGGTGAGAAGGGGAGACACGGGTGAGAAGGGGAGACACGGGTGAGAAGGGGAGACACGGGTGAGAAGGGGAGACACGGGTGAGAAGGGGAGACACGGGTGAGAAGGGGAGACACGGGTGAGAAGGGGAGACACGGGTGAGAAGGGGAGACACGGGTGAGAAGGGGAGACACGGGTGAGAAGGGGAGACACGGGTGAGAAGGGGAGACACGGGTGAGAAGGGGAGACACGGGTGAGAAGGGGAGACACGGGTGAGAAGGGGAGACACGGGTGAGAAGGGGAGACACGGGTGAGAAGGGGAGACACGGGTGAGAAGGGGAGACACGGGTGAGAAGGGGAGACACGGGTGAGAAGGGGAGACACGGGTGAGAAGGGGAGACACGGGTGAGAAGGGGAGACACGGGGAGGCACGGGGAGGCACGGGGAGATGCACGTAGAGACACAGAAAGTCGTCCGACCCTGACGCCTGCTGCATATTTGTAGTTTGCGGTGTCTATCCTTGATCGTGTGATTTTTTTTTCTTTCTGGATCTTTGTGGTTTTTTCCTCCACATTTGTAGAATCAACGTGAGTTCAGAGTTTTTGGCTCCTATACATTTCCACGCCGTGATAAGCCCACTTTGTTGAGCTATCATTTTTGACAGCCAGGCCGCTTCTGAAAAAGAGCTGTGTACAGCAGCTCAGTGGAGCCTTACCCACTTATAAGAGGACTTGCCTGCACGAATGGAGAGGCGGTCAGACACACGTGCATGAGCATAATATGGCGGTGCGTTCGCCATAGCGGTTGTACCAGGCTAGGTGCGCTTTGAGGCTATTGTGTGAAAGTGTGGAAGGTGCTTGCCACTGGCAAGTCACCGGGGCAGACCTATGGAGCCACAGTCTTGAACCCTCACAGATTTCGTTTAGACATCTGGAAGATGGTGGGGAGGTGATGATGTCAACCTCCAGCTGCTAGCGATGATGCATGAAGGCAAGGACGGGGCATGGTGGAGTGTCAACGCTCACGGCAGTGAGGACACCATCGGAGATGGACCACGCAGAAATTAATCAGCAGCAGATTCTAGATTTGAAGCTTTTGTGACTGCAAGGATTCATACTCTTTGGTTTTTTCGGTAAAGTCACGTAGGTGAAACAAGAAATCAAATAAATGAAAACAACTAAATAAAATCACGACGTTTCGGAGGCAACACAAGCTTCCTTCCGTCAGGTGTAAAAAAGGAGTAACCTAATTCTTTCTGAGATTAGTGATAGGCTAGCTTTAAATAAAATCTGTTTAGAGTTCGGTGAAGACACAGCAGCAGATGTGAGTGTGAAAGCGATGGGTATTACCTTAAATTTCGATTTAAAGCTTTCGTGACTGCAGGGATTCATCTTCTTGGTTATTTCGGTAAAGTCACGTAGAAGGGAAATAATAAAATAATAAAAATAAAACATCATAAAATAAGAATTCTTTTAAAAATAATTATTTTAAAATAATTTATATTTTATTATGTTTTATTTTTATTATTTTATTATTTCCCTTCTACGTGACTTTTAAAAATAATTATTTTAAAATAATTCATATTTTATAATGTTTTATTTTTATTATTTTATTATTTCCCTTCTACGTGACTTTACCGAAAGAACCAAGAAGAAGCATTTGCTCTGTTTAACATGTAGGCTTTCGCGACCAATTTTATTCATAATCAACGTTTTTGGGTTTAGATGGCGTTATTTATAAATGTGTCGTAACCCTCCACCACCCGACACGGCCAATCAGTAAAAAATGTACCCGTAAAAACAAAGTTTTTCACTATAAATCCTTTATATGCGTGGCATCGGTTTTATTTTATTATTCATTTCAGTTTTTCTTGAGTAAGAGTTTCATTTTTATCACATTGGTATTTTAAATAAAATATGAAAAAAATGTTTTCCTAAAAAGTGGAAAATTTAGGAATTTTTTTTCACGAACATTAATTGGCACGCACAACGAGTCTGTGTGCAAAATGTCAGCTCGATTGGATCACGGGAAGTGGGTTTAAAAACGACTGAAAGATTTGCACGGTCGTAAGCGCGCAAGCAAGCACGCAAGTGAACTTAATATAAAGGATTTAAAAAAAGTGTCACGTTGACAAAAGACAAATAGTTCACTGCTTTAGCCCACCGGTGTGTTGAAGCGTGAAACCACAACATTAAAAAAAAATTGAGTACAACGTTTCGCTGGTAATTGCATCCAGCATCATCAACTGTTAGAGCATTTGTTCTCACAGTTTTCTCAGAATTGGGGGGATGTTTGTGTTTGTATGCGTCAGGTACCTGATGTACGGCGATGGATCGAGCAGCGAGGATGAGGAGGCACGTCCCTCACGCCGCCCAAACAGAACGCCGTCGACGGTGAGTGCCGGGGGGTATGGCTGTGTGTGTGGGTGGGTGTGTGTGGGTGGGTGTGTGTGTGTGTGTGGGTGGGTGTGGGGGTGGGTGTGGGTGTGTGTGTGGGTGGGTGGATGTGTGTGGGTGGGTGGGTGTGTGACTGTTGGGGAGTGGTAGTGTAGCGGTTAGCGCGCTGCGCTAACCGCTACACTACCGCTGAACCTGGCGACCCGGGTTCGATTCCCGCTCACGGCTAACACCAGTGACGATTATCTGAACCGGTCCTGGGCCTCCCCTAGGTCGACTCAGCCTTAAATGAGTACCTGGTGAGGTGTGTAAACATCGCCACTGGGGAACCAAAGGCGGCCGGGCGTGGTGCTGGCCACCCACCTCCTCGTTCGTGTACCGTTCCGGCCTTCATAGGTGCTCGCTAACAGCACTTGCCCCTACATTCTGTTAAGGCTATACGGGGGATCTTTGTTGTGTGGGTGGGTGTGTGAATGTTGGCACAGTAGGGGGCACAGGTGGTGCATCAGCCAGTCATCTCGGTCATCTCAGTCAGTCGATCCGTGGCACCTGCTGGGTCTGCCCCGTGACCTCCTGCCAGCGGGCGTTCGACACTTCACGTGGTAGCCTCAAGGTGCACATGGCCTGGCACAAGTGTCGTGGTGACGTCACCGCCACTTAGTGGCGAATGGTGGCGGTTGTTGTGACTGTGTGTGGGTGTGTGATTGTGTGCGGGAGCTGTAGTGTAGCCCGCGCCCCCTGTGAGGTGGATAGCTGAGCGAGTGCAAAGAGTCGGAGACCCGGTAGAACAACGGGCAGAGGTGAGCTCCCAAGCGAACTGCTCAGGGGAGGGATGGTCACTGGTTTTCAGGCTTCACTGTGTTCAAGTTTCATTTATTGGGTATAGCCCTGGGAGCCATGCGGCTCTTGAGTCGGGTGCAACCGCAACAAACAAAATATGAACATCTTCTTGGTTCTTTCGGTAAAGTCACGTAGAATGGAAATAATAAAATAATAATAATAAAACATAATAAAATAATTCTCACGACGTTTCGGCCACAACGCAAGCAGCCGTCCTCAGGTGGAGAACAGCGTCTGTCGAGGAGACAGATTCAGACCGTCTCCCCGACAGACCTGTTCTCCACCTGAGGACGGCTGCTTGCGTTGTGGCCGAAACATCGTGAGAATTTGAATTTTTTATATTATTTTATTATTTCCCTTCTACGTGACTTTACCGAAAGAACCAAGAAGATGAATCCCTGCTGTCACGAAAGCTTTAAATCGAAAAATATCAACAGAGAACATCTTAAAGCGACGACGCGCAACAAAAACATCCTGGATAAACCAGCAGTGTTGTTATAGCGTGATGTGTCATTACAACTGCCTCGCCTACTGCTGCCTTGTGTGTGTGTGTGATTATATATATCTGTGTGTCTATGGCGCAGGGAAATCTCTGCTGTTCAGCCTCAAATGAGTACCTGGTGTGGTGTGTTAACATCGCCACTGGGGAAACAAAGGCGGCCGGGCGTGGTGTTGGCCACCCACCCCCTCGCGTGTCGTGCAGGCCTTTATACGTGTGCAGGAGCCTAAGTAGCGCAGAAGACGTCGATAGAGGCAACACTTATTTATTAACAAGAGCTACGATACAGCAGCTCGTAGCGAACCCTCACACTCGAAGGGGTAACGGCCCCTTCACCCGATTCTACTAGAGGATGTGTTCCTCGGCTCACGTTCCCCGTGAGCTCCTACTACTCCCCTCTATCTCAGACCATCCTAAAGGAGGCTAACTCACCTGGCCCAGCTTCGGCTCAGGTCCGACCCTCAGCCACTCGAGTCTGGCCCTCACAGGGACCCAGACCTCGCTGCTCTGAGGTCGCCCCTGGCTTGCCCTGCTCGGCTCTTATAAGAACTGCGAGACAGGGCGGTAGTCCCAGGGCTAGGCTAGTCGCTCTTCAATCTTCACTGGCTCTTCATTCTCTTCGGACTCTGACGACTGCCTCCAGCTCTCTCTCTCTCACTGCCGAGGGGTGGGGCTGTGCGGGATCCCAGCCACAGCCTCCCACACAGCCCCCCAGGGTGGTGACCGTTTGCGGACGTTGATGTAGACGCCCCCAACGTAACAGCTCGCCACACCCCGTTACGTAATACCTCTCTACACGTGCTCGCTAGCAGCACTTGCCCCAACAGTCTGTTCAGGCTACACGGTGGATTTTTGTCTCTTGCTGTGTGTGACGAGCGGTAGTGTCGCGTTTAGCGCGCCGCGCCACAAGCCCGGCAACCTGAGTTCCATCCTGCTCACGGCCAACACCAGTGACGATTATCTGAATCGTTCCTGGGCCTCCCCTAGGTCGACTCAGCCTCAAATTAGTACGTGGTGCATTGTGTAGTAAACATCGCCACTGGGGGAGACAAAGGCGGTCGGACGTGGTGCTGGCCACCCACCACCTCGTCGTGTGCCGTTCCAGCCTTCTTAGGTGCTCGCTAACAGCACTTGCCCCAACAGTCTGTTAAGGCAACACGGGGGGATCTTTGGGTGTGATTGTGAGTGGGTGAACGTGCGTCTGTTTGGGCTGGAGAACGCAACACCCCCCTGCGCATCCTCGGCGGTTGCCACCGGCAATGGGCCGTGGTGACTGAGCAAATCGGCTGTTCCCTTCATGGTAGCCACAGGGGACTCTGGGATGGGTACGAGGGAGCTGGTGATGACTGCCCCCTACTCAGCCTTCAACTCAATTCCCATAAAAAATTAAAGAAAGTTAAATTGAAGATTGTGCCGGAGGTCCCAGGGTGGGGGTGGAACAGGCCCTTTGTGGCATCTTTTGACCCAAACCCCCATTCTAGAGGAGCCAGGCGACCTGAACCCCGTAACCCTTTTTGTTCACTCCTGAAATAACAACGAGAAACCTACTCCTCTTCTTGGTTCTTTCGGTAAAGTTGCGGAGAAGGGAAGTAATAAAATAATAAAAATAAAGAGCGCCTTGACAAAAGAATATGCCTCTTGATATGCATATTCTTTTGTCAAGGCGCTCTTTTCCCCCCTTCCAACCCAGCTTATATTTATGCTCCAAGCACGTGTGCTGTTTCATTCAGACGCTGTCGCCTCGACAGACCTGGTCTTCACCTGAGGACGGCTGCTTGCGTTGTGGCCGAAACGTCGTGAGAATTGTTTTTTTTATTATATTTAATTTTTATTATTTTATTACTTCCCTTCTACGTGACTTTACCGAAAGAACCAAGAAGATGAATCCCTGCAGTCACGAAAGCTTTAAAGAAAAACCTACTGTGGGAGGACATGTTACAAGTGTTTGAACGCTCACTGCAGAGGAGGAGAGGCTGACACTTCCCTCTGTCAGGAGCTGGACAGTTACTGCCCTGGACCTCTGGAATACAGGATGGGGTGCACATCATTAGACCTCCTTTGCCAGTACCAAAATATAATAATAGGGGTTTTTCCCCTTTTTTCTGGCAACAAAACTTAAACCTTTTTACAAGGAATCATGTTACTGCATTAACCACAATACTTGTGGTCAAAATGCAAACAAAAAACACACTCTGATAATATATGCATTTACACTATGAGACCTCCTTTACCAGTGGCAAAATATAGTGATAGGTTTTTACCCTTTCAACTGGTACAATAATTGACACCTTTATGCAAGGCATCATGTTTGCAATAATCACAACACAAGCAGTCAAAATGCAAACAAAAATAAACAACTGATGATGATAATGATATGCACACCAATGGAGACTAGGCTCTAAGAAAAGCTGTCTCGGGTGTGGACCAATCAACTTCAAGGACAGTGCATATCATTATCATCATCGGAGTTGTTTCTTTTTGTTTGCATTTTGACTGCTTGTGTTGCGGTTATTGCAAACATGATGCCTTGTATAAAGGTGTCAGTTTTTGTACCAGTTGAAAGGGTAAAAACCTATTACTATTACAATATATGCATTGTCCTCGAAACTGATTGGTCCACACAAAGAGACAGCTTTCTTCGCATTTTGACCGCAAGTATTGTGGTTAATGTAGTAACATGAATCCTTGTAAAAAGGTTTCAGTTTTGTTGCCAGAAAAAAGGGGAAAAACCCTATTATTATATTTTGGTACTGGCAAAGGAGGTCTAATGATGTAGATGCTCACCCCGAGCCCTCGTTACTCTGATAGTGCATTGTCTTTGAGCTGTACGCCTTTTTAAATCCTTTATATTAAGTTCACTTGCTTGCGCGCTTACGACCGTGCAAATCTTTCAGTCGTTTTTTAACCCACTTCCCGTGATCCAATCGGGCTGACATTTTGCACACAGACTCGTTGTGCGTGACAATTTATTTTCGTGAAATTTTTTTTCCAAAATTTTACACTTTTTAGGAAAAAATAAATTATATTTAATTACCAATTGCTTAATGGTGGCAGGCAATCATCTGACCCATAGGTGGCAGCCATCTCAAGCCAGAGGACGAGAGGACTCTAGCCGCCACGCATATAAAGGATTTATAGTGAAAAACTTTGTTTTTGCGGGTTAATTTTTTGCATCCTCTGGTCTAGCACCAATTGAGACGAGGCTCAAAAGAAAGCCGTCTTTGGTGTGGACCAATCAGTTTCAAGGACAATGCCAATATATTATCAGTGTGTTTTTTGTTTGCATTTTGACCACAGGTATTGCGGTTAATGCACACATGATTCCTCGTAAAAAGGTTTCAGTTTTGTTGCCAAAAAAAAGGGGGGAATAACCCTATTATTATAGGATGGGGACCGGTTTCTGTTCACTATGAGGGGTGGACCATCTTCAACTCGGGGCAGGAAATTGCCAATCAAATAAAAGTGGCTCTTCAGAACAGAATAGTGATTTGTGTGTGGGACCAGAGGAGGAGGTTTAAGGTGTTCATATACATTACAATTGTCTCTGTGTTTGTCTGCAGCAGGGCGTGTGTCACTGCTCCTGCCGTGTCTGATTTGTCTCGTGTGTCTGTGCACCAGAGGACATCTCTGCCTGCCGCTCGAGTCTCAACTCCATCTCCGCATCGCACCGCAGGTAGCTGCATCTCACACCCGCCCCGAGTGTGTCCGGTCTTGTTTGACGGCTGCCCTCGTGTGATGGCGCTCACGAGGATCTGAGAGATGACTACCTAGCAGTTCCAGAACTACTACTACTCCCCCCCCCCCCCCCCCCCCCCCCATCAACTCTCTCTTTTCACTCCTCTACCCCAGTCCACTCACTCCCCCCCGCCCCCCTTACCTCTCTCTTCTCGCAAGACATCATGGGGCAAGGTGGGGGGGGGGGTTGATCCTGCTTGGGGCTGCGGTTAATCACACACACACACACACCCCTCCTCATGTGGAGTGGCCAGTTGAAGTCACATCTTGCAGACTGGATTGTGTGAGAAGCTCAGATCCTTCAGAGGTCTGGACACATTCCCATCAGTAGGCTCCTCTGGCAGGGCGAGTCTGCGTTGGCTGGGTCGTGTAGCCCACATGCCCAGCCACCGCAAGCCCCAAACAGCTTCTGTTTGGCCGCATAGAGGGGGCACAGTACGGGCTAGAGAAGGGATGGAGTGATGCAGTACAGGAGGATGTGGAGCTGAGTGGACTTGCCGATGACCGGTACCAGCAGTGTCAAGATCGTCCTCTGGAGGAGGTTCGTGAAGGACGCTATTGGCAGTTCCAGGCTAAGTGTACATTGAGGCTACTGGGCAGTTGGAGGCAGTCGCCCTCCAGCAACAACGGAGGGCAGAGGAGCGATGCTCACAGCAACGAGCAGAGTGCCGGGTGGCTAAAACACAGCAAGTTGGCACACTAGCAGGCACAGGTGGTGCATCAGCCAATCATCTCAGTTGGTCAACCCATGTTAACCGTCTGTCCTCTGACCCCCCTGCCAGCAGCGAACTTTCCACAGTTCTAATCGTGACCCCAAAGTGCACCTAGCCTGGCACAAGCGCCATCACCGTCACTGAATGGCGAACGGCGATTGTTGATGGTGATGATGGTGGTGGTGATTGTGTAGTGGGTTCAACGTAGTCGCAGACGTAGACTTGGAGGCAACACATTTATTCCGTTCCAACACACGGGGTAACTTCCCCTTAACAGAATAACAACCTAAGGCGGTGACCACCAGTCTAACTACACCAGTTACAACGTAACTGCTACTACGGACCGGGACCAACAATTTGATAGAAAGTTTTTTTCAGGAAACAATCCTCTTTGCTATAAAAACTTTTAACATGCATTGAACGTTTCGTATCGTGGTAACCCTAAAATTAAATCGCTAAAGCTACGCATTGTAGTGTGTAGTGTATAGTGTAGTGTATAGTGTAGTGTATAGTGTAGTGTATAGTGTAGTGTATAGTAGTGTAATAGTGTAGTGTGTAGTGTAGTGTGTAGTGTAGTGTAGTGGTTAGTGTAGTGGAATAATGTAGTGTATAGTGTAGTGTATAGTGTAGTGGAATAATGTAGTGTATAGTGTAATGTAATAGTGTAGTGTAATAGTGTAGTGTATACATGCATTGAACGTATTGTAACATATCATTGTACTGCACTCACCAAGATTCTGTCCGTCGTCTGCATACTTGAACGATGTTAGGTTGTTGACGGCTACATTTAAAATATTTAGCAATTTTGTCGCATCGCTATCGAAAGATTGAAATATCGTAAGTCGGACCATCGAAACTCGGGGACTACCTGTATACACGTGTTTTTTAAAGGAAGATTTACGGTGTATAAAGGTTGTTTCCAAAACGTTGGGTGGTGCTGCAAAGGCTTTTGTCATCCTACTTCCAATTCTTGTTCTGGTGATTATTTAAATGGCAATTAGATGAACGCCTGAGGTTTCACGGGTTTGACGGTCAGGATATTGAATTACAGATGATTGGGGGGGGGAGAACGCCGGATTTTCAAAAACGCCGGATACTCGCTACATCATCATTATTTAAACATCTTTTATTTGCACATTTTTGTATGATGTGTTGCTATGTTTTTGTGTGTTTTCAAATATGATTTATTTGTTCAAATTGTCACCAACAAACATAGAAATAGACAAAAATAAATATGATTTAAAAAATGTACCCTTTTATCTGCCAACAAAACTGACACCTTTTTTACAAGGAGTCATGTTTGCATTGACCACAATACCTGCAGTCGGAATGCAAACAAAAAACACAACTCTGATAATGTATGCACTGTCCTTGAAATTGATTGGTCTACACCCGAGACAGCTTTCCTTAGAGCCTAGTCTCCCATGGTGTTGGACCAGATGACGCCAAAAGGCGCACAACTCATAGACAATGCACCATCAGAGTATGAGAGCTCGGGGTAAGCATTTACACCATTGGAACCTCATTTGCCAGTAGCAAAATATGATAATTGTTTTTTTACCCTTTTATCTGGCAACAAAACTGACACCTTTTTTACAAGGAGTCATGTTTGCATTGACCACAATACCTGCAGTCGGAATGCAAACAAAAAACACAACTCTGATAATGTATGCACTGTCCTTGAAGTTGATTGGTCCACACCCGAGACAGCTTTCCTTAGAGCCTAGTCTCACATGGTCCTTGAAGTTGATTGGTCCACACCCGAGACAGCTTTCCTTAGAGCCTAGTCTCACATGGTCCTTGAAGTTGATTGGTCCACACCCGAGACAGCTTTCCTTAGAGCCTAGTCTCACATGGTCCTTGAAGTTGATTGGTCCACACCCGAGACAGCTTTCCTTAGAGCCTAGTCTCACATGGTCCTTGAAGTTGATTGGTCCACACCCGAGACAGCTTTCCTTAGAGCCTAGTCTCACATGGTCCTTGAAGTTGATTGGTCCACACCCGAGACAGCTTTCCTTAGAGCCTAGTCTCACATGGTCCTTGAAGTTGATTGGTCCACACCCGAGACAGCTTTCCTTAGAGCCTAGTCTCACATGGTCCTTGAAGTTGATTGGTCCACACCCGAGACAGCTTTCCTTAGAGCCTAGTCTCACATGGTCCTTGAAGTTGATTGGTCCACACCCGAGACAGCTTTCCTTAGAGCCTAGTCTCACATGGTCCTTGAAGTTGATTGGTCCACACCCGAGACAGCTTTCCTTAGAGCCTAGTCTCACATGGTCCTTGAAGTTGATTGGTCCACACCCGAGACAGCTTTCCTTAGAGCCTAGTCTCACATGGTCCTTGAAGTTGATTGGTCCACACCCGAGACAGCTTTCCTTAGAGCCTAGTCTCACATGGTCCTTGAAGTTGATTGGTCCACACCCGAGACAGCTTTCCTTAGAGCCTAGTCTCACATGGTCCTTGAAGTTGATTGGTCCACACCCGAGACAGCTTTCCTTAGAGCCTAGTCTCACATGGTCCTTGAAGTTGATTGGTCCACACCCGAGACAGCTTTCCTTAGAGCCTAGTCTCACATGGTCCTTGAAGTTGATTGGTCCACACTCGAGACAGCTTTCCTTAGAGCCTAGTCTCACATGGTGTTGGACGATTGCCGGACTGATGCAGCCTTTAGACCCGGTGATCCGGCAAATGCCAAATTACACAATCACTTTTCGCCTGATCGCAACTGTGTATTGTTTCTGTTTTCATGACCATAGTTATTCGTCCTGAAAAATGTGTATAAGTGCAGTATTTTCATTGTTTAAGTTGTTGAATGTAGTGTATAATGTACTCTATATAATATTTAACATCGAAATCAACAGCATTTAAAAATTTGAGTACGACGTTTCGCTGATTATTACAATCATCTTCATCGGGCAAGAATGGTGAAGCCCTCCTGTTGCTCCCGGTCTTAAATAGAGCAGCATCAGGGTGACGTCTTCATTTACTACACTATACACTACTACACTACACTATACACTACACTATACACTACTACACTACACTATACACTACTACACTACACTATACACTACACACTACACTATACACTATACACTACACACTACACTACACTATACACTATACACTACACACTACACTACACTATACACTACTACACTACACTATACACTACTACACTACACTATACACTACTACACTACACTATACACTACTACACTACACTATACACTACTACACTACACTATACACTATACACTACACTATACACTCTACACTACACTATACACTACTACACTATACACTATACACTACTACACTATACACTACTACACTACACTATACACTACTACACTACATTAAAATAGAGCAGCATCAGGGTGACGTCATCATCTAATTAAATCTGGTACAGTGATTCGAGGCAGAGGGGGGTGGTATTGTAATTATATATATTTGTAATCATTCAATTGTTATTCATTAAAGAAGCGAATTATTTTGTTCTTTGAAAAACGTGACACATTTTTTGCTGATTGGCCGTGTCGGGTGGTGGAGGGTTACGACACATTTATAAATAACGCCATCTGACCCAAAAACCTTTATTATGAATAATATTGGTCGTGAAAGCCTCTACGTGTTAAACCGAAATCAAGCATAGCTATACTCTTTGTTTCTTTCGGTAAAGTCACGTAGGTATAAAATAAAATAAATTAAATCACGACGTTTCGATTGCAACACAAGCAATCATCATCAGGTGGGAAAACCACAGCAAGAAAATGTTTTGCTTTAGTGGGACACAGAGTTGCCATGGTAAGAGGTTAGGGTTTTACCTGGTTAATAACATCCTTCAAATGATCGCTCAATTTGTATCCATCAAACATTTTCTTGCTGTGGTTTTCCCACCTGATGATGATTGCTTGTGTTGCAATCGAAACGTCGTGATTTAATTTATTTTCTACCCACGTGACTTTACCGAAAGAACCAAAGAGTATGGGTCCCTGCAGTCACGAAAACTTTAAATCGAGATTCAAGCATAGCTACTTTTATTTTAGTAATAGGTTTTTACCCTTTCAACTGGTACAAAAACTGACACCTTTATACAAGGCATCATGTTTGCATGATGCCTTGTATAAAGGTGTACCAGTTGAAAGGGTTAAAACCTATTACTATATTTCGCCACTGGTAAAGGAGGTCTCGTAGTGTAAATACTTTTATTTTGTCACATACACGATGCCGATCGCCGGACTGGTCCGAGCCTTTGGAGCGGTTTTGCTGGTTTAGACGGATCGGCCCGGGACCGCCGGATAATTTTGTAAACCGGATAATCAAATGTCAAATGTGGTTAAGTATAGTGCAGGTTTGCCAACAAGGGTTTTATGGATGAACAGGGCCCTATGTGGATTTCTTCTTGCGTGTGATGATGATGATGATGGTGATGGCATTGATGCTGCTGGTTTCAGTGGAGTCTTATCGGGAGGACTGGATTGTAGCATTGCGAGTGCAGTTTCATCATCTTTGTTCAGTGAATGAGGTGGAGGAGGAGGTGAAGGAGGAGGTAGAGGAGGTAACGGAGGAGGAGGTAACGGAGGAGGAGATGGAAGAGGAGGAAATGAGCATCGGGGATCGCGACTCTGAGTGGTGAGAATCTTAGCACCAAACCTCCACGACCCCTAACACTGCCCTTACCACTACCCCTGACTTAACACCATTCACTACTCCGACCATTTCCTCTTCGACTAGCCATAACACTACCACTACAGCTGCCAGTACTACTAACATTACCCCTACCATTACCACTAACATTACCCCTACCATTACCACTAACATTACCCCTACCATTACCACTAACGCTATCCTTACCGCTAACTAAACCCCTAACACTGCCGTTACCACTACCCCTGACTTAACACCATTTATTACTCCGACCATTTCCTCTTCGACTAGCCATAACACTACCACTACACCTGCCACTACTAACATTACCCCTACCATTTTCTTGGTTCTTTCGGTAAAGTCACGTAGAATGGAAATAATAATAAAAAAATAAAATAAAACATTAAATAATTCTCACGACGCTTCGGCCACAACGCAAGCAGCCGTCCTCAGGTGGAGAACAGGTCTGTCAAGAAGACAGAGTCTGAATGACAACCCCAGGCTTGGAGCGTCTTTTTAAATCCTTTATATTAAGTTCGCTTGCTTGCGTGCTTGCTTGCTTGCTTACGACCGTGCAAATCTTTCGGTAGTTTTTTAACCCACTTCCCGTGATCCAATCGAGCTGACATTTTGCACTCGTTGTACGAGACAATTAATGTTCGTGAAATTTTTTTCTCCAAAATTTTACACTTTTTAGGGAAAACAAATGAAATATTTAATTACCAATTGCTTAATACTGGCAGACAATCATCTGACCCATAGGTGGCAGCCATCTCAAGCCAGAGGACGAGAGGACTCTAGCCGCCACGCATATAAAGGATTTATAGTGAAAAACTTTGTTTTTACGGGTTAATTTTTTTAAGCTGGGATGGAGGGGGGGAGAGCGCCTTGACAAAATAATTTGCATATCAAGAGTAATTTTGCATATTTATGTGAAATGCAGATATGCGATTAGTACTATTTGTGAAATGCGTAGGAGGTTTGGCGAGGGGTTTAAAGTCATTACCACTAACGCTATCCTTACCGCCAACTAAACCCCTAACACTGCCCTTACCACTACCCCTGACTAACGCTACTTAACTCCTCTGGCCACTAACCCCTACCACTAGGCTTACACTGCCAGTACTCTGAACACTACCCATACCTCTAGCCATACCACTATCACTATCATTACCACCTCCCCCAACACTACCCATACCTCTAGCCCTATCACCATCATTACCACCTCCCCTAACACTACCACTTCCACTACCCATACTACTACCCCTACCACTGTGCCTGTTACTGCAGCGCGCCCAGCCCGCCTGGTGCATTAGGAGACCCCTACGATGGGACCACAGAGGAAGAGGAGGCAGTGGAGGAAACGCAGGTGGGGGGCAGGGCAGGAGGAGGGGGGAAGGAGGAGGAGGCAGCCCCTGGCCCCCCTGAGCTGCCCGGTGAGTGTCAGCACTGACCACACACTGACCACACACACTGACCACTCACACTGACCACTCACACTGACAACTCACTCACTCACACAGACCACTCACTGACCACACACACTGACCACACACTGAACACACACACTGACCACTCACACTGACCACTCACACTGACAACTCACTCACTCACACAGACCACTCACTGACCACACACACTGACCACACACTGACCACACACTGACCACTCACTGACCCACACTGACCACACACGGACCACTCACACTGACAACTCACTCACACAGACCACTCACTGACCACTTACTCACACAGACCACTCACTGACCACACACTGACCACTCACTAACCCACACTGACCACAACCACTCACTGACCACTCACACTGACAACTCACTTACACAGACCACTCACTGACCACTTACACAGACCACTCACTGACCACACACTGACCACTCACTGACCACACACTGACCACTCACTGACCACACACTGACAACTCACTCACACAGACCACTCACTGACCACTCACACTGACAACTCACTCACACAGACCACTCACTGACCACTTACTCACACAGACCACTCACTGACCACACACTTACAACTCACTCACACAGACCACTCACTGACCACTTACTCACACAGACCACTCACTGACCACACACTGACCACTCACTGACCACACACTTACAACTCACTCACACAGACCACTCACACTGACCACTGACCCACACGACCACTCACACTGACCACACACTGACCACACACTGACCACACACTGACCACACACTGACAACTCACTCACACAGACCACTCACTGATCACTCACACTGACAACTCACAAACACTCTCACACTGACTACTCATTCACACTCGTTGACCAAGCGTTCACAGACCACTACTCACACTGACTGCTCGGTCACACTGACCACTCACGAACACTGACACGGATCACTCAATCACACTGACCACTCAAACACTCACTCACACAAGCCACTCGCTCACTTACTGACACTGACCACTCACTCGCACAGACACACTGCGATCACTCACTCAAGCACAACAGCGATCACTCGCCTACACAGACACAGTCATCACTCACACACTGCGATCACTCACTCAAGCACAACAGCGATCACTCACCTACACAGACTCGGTCATCACTCGCACACCGCGATCACTCACTCAAGCACAACAGCGATCACTCACCTACACAGACACAGTCATCACACACACACCGCGATCACTCGCTCATCATATTCACCGTTGCTCTAGATCTGCTGTCGGGGAAGAGGATTCTTCTGCACGCGTCGCTCTCCGCTCAAGAGCGCCGCTCCCTGCAGCGACTCACCGTGGCCTGGAACGGGTACCGGGGGTCACGGGGTGACGCGAGGGGGTGACGCGAGGGGGTGACGCGAGGGGGTGACGTGGGGGGGTGACGTGGGGGGTGACGTGGGGGGTGACGTGGGGGTGACGTGGGGGGGTGACGTGAAGGGGTGACGTGATGGGGTGACGCGGAGGGGGTGACGCGGTGGGGGTGACGCGGTGGGGGTGACGCGGAGGGGGTGACGCGGAGGGGGTGACGCGGAGGGGTGACGCGGTGGGGGTGACGCGGAGGGGTGACGCGGAGGGGGTGACGCGGAGGGGTGACCGGCGAGGGGTGACGCGGAGGGGGTGACGCGGAGGGGGTGACGCGGAGGGGGTGACGCGGAGGGGGTGACGCGGAGGGGGTGACGCGGAGGGGGTGACGCGGAGGGGGTGACGCGGAGGGGGTGACGCGGAGGGGTGACGCGGAGGGGGTGACGCGGAGGGGGTGACGCGGAGGGGGTGACGCGGAGGGGGTGACGCGGAGGGGGTGACGCGGAGGGGGTGACGCGGAGGGGGTGACGCGGAGGGGGTGACGCGGAGGGGGTGACGCGGAGGGGTGACGCGGAGGGGTGACGCGGAGGGGGTGACGCGGAGGGGGGTGACGCGGAGGGGGGTGACGCGGAGGGGGTGACGCGGAGGGGGTGACGCGGAGGGGGTGACGCGGAGGGGGTGACGCGGAGGGGGTGACGCGGAGGGGGTGACGCGGAGGGGGGGGTGACGCGGAGGGGGTGACGCGGAGGGGGTGACGCGGAGGGGGTGACGCGGAGGGGGTGACGCGGAGGGGTGACGCGGAGGGGGGTGGACGCGGAGGGGGTGACGCGGAGGGGGTGACGCGGAGGGGGTGACGCGGAGGGGGTGACGCGGAGGGGGTGACGCGGAGGGGGTGACGCGGAGGGGGTGACGCGTGAAAAGAATGGGTGACGTAATGGGATGTGACGGGCTGCTGTGTGCGCCGTGTGTCAGGAGCGTCGTTGCTGACGGTGCAAGTGAAGAAGTCGACTTCGTCATCGCCAATCACGGCTGGGATGAGAGCTTCGACGAGGTGGGTGTGACGAGGTGAGGGTGTGAAAGGGTGTGACGGGGTGAGGGTGTGAGAGGGTGAGGGTGTGACGGGGTGAGGGTGTGAAAGGGTGTGACGAGGTGAGGGTGTGAGAGGGTGAGGGTGTGACGGGGTGAGGGTGTGAAAGGGTGTGACGGGGTGAGGGTGTGAAAGGGTGTGACGGGGTGAGGGTGTGAGAGGGTGAGGGTGTGACGGGGTGAGGGTGTGAAAGGGTGTGACGGGGTGAGGGTGTGAAAGGGTGTGACGAGGTGAGGGTGTGAAAGGGTGTGACGGGGTGAGGGTGTGAGAGGGTGAGGGTGTGACGGGGTGAGGGTGTGAAAGGGTGTGACGGGGTGAGGGTGTGAAAGGGTGTGACGAGGTGAGGGTGTGACGTGACGGGGTGAGGGTGTGAGAGGGTGAGAGTGTAAGGGGTGAAGGTGTGACAGGGTGAGGGTGTTAAGTATGTGGTGAGTTTAACACGAGTGGTGAGTGTGATGTGAGTGTGATGTGAGTGTGAGGTGAGTGTGGTGTGATGTGAGCTGTGATGTGAGCTGTGATGTGAGTGTGATGTGAGTGTCATGTGAGTGGTGATGTGAGTGGTGATGTGAGTGGTGATGTGAGTGTGAGGTGAGTGTGATGTGAGTGGTGGTGTGAGGTGAGTGTGAGGTGAATGTGAGTGGTGATGTGAGTGGTGATGTGAGTGGTGATGTGAGTGTGATGTGAGTGGTGATGTGAGTGATGTGAGTGGGAGTGTGATGTGAGTGTGATGTGAGTGTGATGTGAGTGTGATGTGAGTGTGATGTGAGTGTGATGTGAGCTGTGGGTGGTGATTAGTGAGTGTGAGGTGAGTGTGATGTGAGTGGTGAGTGTTACGAGGTGGTGGTAATTGGTGTGATGTAGTGGTGGTGGTGAGTGGTGTGACGAGGTGGTGGTGAGTGGTGTGACGAGGTGGTGGTGAGTGGTGTGACGAGGTGGTGGTGGTGAGCGGTGTGACGAGGTGGTGGTGAGCGGTGTGACGAGGTGTTGGTGGTGAGTGGTGTGACGAGGTGGTGGTGAGCGGTGTGACGTGGTGGTGGTGAGTGGTGTGACGAGTGGTGGGTGGTGAGCGGTGTGACGTGGTGGTGGTGAGTGGTGTGACGAGGTTGGTGGTGGGTGAGCGGTGGTGACATGGTGGTGGTGGGTAAGTGGTGTGACGAGGTGGTGGTGGTGAGCGGTGTGACGAGGTGGTGGTGGTGAGTGGTGTGACGAGGTGGTGGTGGTGAGTGGTGTGACGAGGTGGTGGTGGTGAGCGGTGTGACGAGGGTGGTGGTGGTGAGCGGTGTGACGAGGTGGTGGTGAGCGGTTGTGACGAGGTGGTGGTGGTGAGTGGTGTGACGAGGTGGTGGTGGTGAGTGGTGTGACGAGGTGGTGGTGAGCGGTGTGACGTGGTGGTGGTGAGTTGGTGTGACGAGGTGGTGGTGGTGAGCGGTGTGACGTGGGGTGGTGGTGAGCGGTGTGACGAGGTGTGTGGTGGTGAGCGGTGTGACGAGGTGGTGGTGAGCGGTGTGACGAGGTGGTGGTGAGCGGTGTGACGTGTGGTGGTGAGTGGTGTGACGAGGTGGTGGTGAGCGGTGTGACGTGGGTGGTGGTGCGTGGTGTGACGAGGTGGTGGTGGTGAGCGGTGTGACGTGGTGGTGGTGAGCGGTGTGACGAGGTGGTGAGTGGTGTGACGAGGTGGTGGTGAGCGGTGTGACGTGGTGGTGGTGGTGAGTGGTGTGACGAGGTGGTGGTGAGCGGTGTGACGAGGTGGTGAGTGGTGTGACGAGGTGGTGGTGAGCGGTGTGACGTGGTGGTGGTGAGCGGTGTGACGAGGTGGTGGTGAGCGGTGTGACGAGGTGGTGGTGAGTGGTGTGACGAGGTGGTGGTGAGCGGTGTGACGAGGTGGTGGTGAGCGGTGTGACGAGGTGGTGGTGAGCGGTGTGACGAGGTGGTGGTGAGTGGTGTGACGAGGTGGTGGTGAGTGGTGTGACGATGTGGTGGTGAGCGGTGTGACGAGGTGGTGGTGAGTGGTGTGACGTGGTGGTGGTGGTGAGCGGTGTGACGAGGTGGTGGTTTGAGTGGTGTGACGAGGTGGTGGTGGTGAGTGGTGTGACGAGGTGGTGGTGGTGAGTGGTGTGACGAGGTGGTGGCGAGCGGTGTGACGTGGTGGTGGCGAGCGGGTGTGACGTGGTGGTGGCGAGCGGTGTGACGAGGTGGTGGCGAGCGGTGTGACGTGGTGGTGGTGAGCGGTGTGACGAGGTGGTGGTGAGTGGTGTGACGTGGTGGTGGTGAGCGGTGTGACGAGGTGGTGGTGAGTGGTGTGACGTGGTGGTGAGCGGTGTGACGTGGTGGTGGTGAGTGGTGTGACGAGGTGGTGGTGAGTGGTGTGACGAGGTGGTGGTGAGTGGTGTGACGTGGTGGTGGTGAGTGGTGTGACGAGGTGGTGGTGAGTGGTGTGACGAGGTGGTGGTGAGCGGTGTGACGAGGTGGTGGTGAGTGGTGTGACGAGGTGGTGGTGAGTGGTGTGACGAGGTGGTGGTGAGCGGTGTGACGAGGTGGTGGTGAGTGGTGTGACGTGGTGGTGGTGGTGAGCGGTGTGACGAGGTGGTGGTTGTGAGTGGTGTGACGAGGTGGTGGTGGTGAGTGGTGTGACGAGGTGGTGGTGGTGAGTGGTGTGACGTGGTGGTGAGCGGTGTGACGTGGTGGTGGTGAGCGGTGTGACGTGGTGGTGGTGAGCGGTGTGACGAGGTGGTGGCGAGCGGTGTGACGTGGTGGTGGTGAGCGGTGTGACGAGGTGGTGGTGAGTGGTGTGACGTGGTGGTGGTGAGTGGTGTGACGAGGTGGTGGTGAGTGGTGTGACGTGGTGGTGAGCGGTGTGACGTGGTGGTGGTGAGTGGTGTGACGAGGTGGTGGTGAGCGGTGTGACGTGGTGGTGGTGGTGAGCGGTGTGACGTGGTGGTGGTGGTGGTGAGCGGTGTGACGTGGTGGTGGTGGTGGTGAGCGGTGTGACGTGGTGGTGGTGGTGGTGAGCGGTGTGACGTGGTGGTGGTGGTGAGCGGTGTGACGTGGTGGTGGTGAGTGGTGTGACGAGGTGGTGGTGAGTGGTGTGACGAGGTGATGGTGAGCGGTGTGACGTGGTGTGGTGAGTGGTGTGACGAGGTGGTGGTGAGCGGTGTGGACGAGGTGGTGTGAGTGGTGTGACGAGGTGGTGGTGTGACGAGGTGGTGGTGAGTGGTGTGACGAGGTGGTGGTGAGTGGTGTGACGAGGTGGTGGTGAGTGGTGTGACGAGGTGGTGATGAGCGGTGTGACGAGGTGGTGGTGGTGAGCGGTGTGACGAGGTGGTGGTGGTGAGCGGTGTGACGAGGTGGTGGTGGTGAGCGGTGTGACGAGGTGGTGGTGGTGAGCGGTGTGACGAGGTGGTGGTGGTGAGCGGTGTGACGAGGTGGTGGTGGTGAGCGTGTGACGAGGTGGTGGTGAGTGGTGTGACGAGGTGGTGGTGAGCGGTGTGACGAGGTGGTGGTGAGCGGTGTGACGAGGTGGTGGTGGTGAGCGGTGTGACGAGGTGGTGGTGGTGAGCGGTGTGACGAGGTGGTGGTGGTGAGCGGTGTGACGTGGTGGTGGTGGTGACGTGGTGGTGGTGGTGAGCGGTGTGACGTGGTGGTGGTGGTGAGCGGTGTGACGAGGTGGTGGTGAGTGTTGGTGACGACGTGGTGAAGAGTGTGACAAGGCGGTGTCCCCTGCCCGCCCCCCAGGTGCTGGTGTGGAGCCCCGCGGTGCTGTTTGTCCGCCCGCGCTGGCTGCTCGAAAGCCTCCGGCGCGGGTCCCTGGCCCCGCCGCAGCCGTTCGCCATCGCGCCCTAGCGGGGCGGAGGGGGCGGGGGGCCTGAGCCCCAGACAGAAATATCAACAGAGACACAGACTCTAACGGTGGCACCCACATCCCCGTGGACCCCGAGACCCACCGTGGACCCCGAGTGGACCACAAGTTCCTCCTTGAACCACAAGTTCCCCGTGTGAACCCCGAGACCCACCGTGGACCCCGGTGGACGATGTGTTCCCCGTGGCACCACGAGTCTCCTGTAGACCCCGTCTCTGGACGCAACCTTCCAGGACCGTGCTCACCTCCCCTCGCCTTCCTCCCTCAAGCTTTCACCAAACCGGCATTCGCCGCCTTCACCAAGCTGTGCCGACCGGCACGGTGACGTATGGTCCGATAACACCCCCCTTTCACCACCACCACCACAGTCCAAATTGTGTTGTTGGGGTGGGTGTGGGCCCTCATCCAGCAGTGGAGTGACATTGGGGGGAGGGGGGTTTGTGTGCGTTGTTACATTGGAGCCTCTTTGCACCGCACAGGTAATAGCAGCAGCCGCTACCATTGTAGGTGCCCGCAACCGAGATTTTGTTTTGCTGGTTCAGTCGCATAAATATAAATGTGTCGTTAAACCCACCGCCACCACCACCCCGATACCACAGCCCGATCAGTTTGTCACGTAAACACAAAGTGCCAATTATTTACTTAGTTCAGCACTAACCAGTTTCATCTTCTTGGTTCTTTCGGTAAAGTCACGTAGAATGGAAATAATAAAATAATACAAATAAAACATAATAAAATAATTCTCACGACGTTTCGGCCACAACGCAATTTATTTTATTTTATACCTACGTGACTTTACCGAAAGAACCAAGAAGATTAATCCCTGCAGTCACGAAAGCTTTAAATCGAAAACTAACCAGTTTGTGTGTGTTGGAGAGTAAACCCACTGCAACATTTACAATTCGATTTCGATTTAAAGCTTTCGTGACTGCAGGGATTCATCTTCTTGGTTATTTCGGTAAAGTCACGTAGAAGGGAAGTAATAAAATAATAAAAATAAACATAATAAAATAAAAATATAAAAATAAAACATAATAAAATATTTTTATTTTATTATGTTTTATTTTTATTATAAAATATTTTTATTTTATTATGTTTTATTTTAAATCCTTTATATTAAGTTCGCTTGCTTGCGTGCTTGCTTGCTTGCTTACGACCGTGCAAATCTTTCAGTCGTTTTTTAACCCACTTCCCGTGATCCAATCGAGCGGACATTTTGCACACAGACTCGTTGTGCGAGACAATTAATGTTCGTGAAAATTTTTTCCAAATGTTACACTGTTTAGGAAAAACAAATTAAATATTTAATTACCAATTGCTTAATACTGCAGACAATCATCTGACCCATAGGTGGCAGCCATCTCAAGCCAGAGGACGAGAGGACTCTAACCGCCACGCATATAAAGGATTTATAGTGAAAAACTTTGTTTTTACGGGTTATACTTATTATTATTTTATTACTTCCCTTCTACGTCACTTTACCGAAAGAACCAAGAAGATTTACAATTCGAGTTAACGAGACATTTTGCTGGTAATTACAACTGACCTGATCAGGTGACGGCCAGAATTGTTGATAAATCCTCCTCCTGGTTTGGTCTTAAATAGAGGCGGGATAAATGTGATGTCAGCCTGATGAGGCTGGTTGTAATGACATCACGGTACACGAATTGCAAACGCTGTGGGTTTACTCTCCAACACACAACCAGTTAACAATAGCGGTTGTTTGGGTTAGATCGCGTTAATATATAAAAGTGTCGTTAAAACCCGCCACCACACGACACAGCCAACTAGTAAGGGTTGTCACGTAAACAGAACGTGCCAATTCGTCACTAGTGCAGCACTCACCGGTGTGTTTGAGAGCCAAGCCACAACATTTACAATCTGAGTACGACGTTTCGCCAGTAATTACAACCAGCTTCATCAGGTAATCGTCACTGGTGTTAGACACATTTACGCCTCTGTATAATTCTAGCTTTGAAGCTTTCGTGACTGCAAGGATTCATACCCTTAGGTGTTTTCGGTAAAGTCACGTAGGTTAAACATAAAAATTAATAAAAGTAAAATAAAATAAAAATCACGACGTTTCGGAGGCAACACAAGTCTCCGTCATCAGGTGGGACCGTCACAGCCAGATTTGCTGCATCACTTGATGCACGTGGCTTATCACGTTGATACAGCTATCGTGGCTGTGACGGTCCCACCTGATGACGGAGACTTGTGTTGCCTCCGAAACGTCGTGATTTTTATTTTATTTTATTTTATTAATTTTAATGTTTTACCTACGTGACTTTACCGAAAAAACCTAAGAGTATGCTTCTGTATAAGGAACGAAACAGACTTCTCCACACTTTTATATATTTACGCGATCTTACTCAAATAACCTCTTATGGATGATATTGATCGTGAAAGTCTACGTCTTAAACACAAGCAGTTAGTGCTGAACTGGTCACGAATTGGCCACGAGATTAAACCCAAAAAACCTCTCGATAATATTGTTCACGAAAGCCCTGCTACTACTACTACTACGCGTTAAACTATAGGTTCCAGTCACCCTCACAGCGAGCCACTTCAACTGGCACGTGGCTGATCAAGTTGACGTGGAGCAGCAGCTGTAAATGTCACATTGAGGGTGGTCGAGAAGCCAGATGCATGGCCTGTCCCCCGATTCTCCGCGTACCTTTTAGGAACCGCTCAGCGCCAGAAGAATTGCATCAGGAGTTGAGCGGGGAGCTGGTGCATCATCATCATCATCGCCGCTGCTGTGATGATGATGATGCCTTCTTTTGCTTTTGTGAAATCGGGGCCTTCTAAGTTGACGTCACACCACTCACCACACGGTTCTGTTTCCCGGGGTGGTGACTCGTCATCGCCACACCCAGAGAGTGTTTACATTTTTCCCTGTGTCTGTGTGTAGTTGTGTAGTGGTTAGCGCACTGCACTACGAACCCACCGTCCAGAATTCGGTTCCCGCTCATGCCCAACACCAGTGACGAATATCTGAACGTGTCCTGGGCCTCCCCTAGGTCGCCTCAAATGAGTACCTGGTGCGGTGTGTAAACATCGCCACTGGGGAGACGGAGGCGGTCGGGCGTGGTGCTGGCCACCTACCCCCTCGCGTGCCGTTCCGGCCTTCATAGGTGCTCGCTAACAGCACTTGCCCCAACAGCCTGTTAAGGCTACACGGGGGGATGTTTTCCTTGGTTTTGTGTGTCCATCCCAAACATTTGGCGTAAGCTTCTCTCCCGTCACGTTCTTTTTCGACGGACGCGGTTGGAGAGGAGTTTGAGGCCCAACGAGATCGGAGGCAGGGGTCTCGCACTTGCGTCACGCCGCGTGTTCATGGGGCCACTCAAGGCACTGGTATTTTGCCACAATGTAGCTTATTGCTCACCCCAGATGGGCCGCCTGCCTCACAAAGGGGTTATAATGCAGGAGGTTGCTGGGTTCGATCCTGAAACCCTGACGCATGTATACAGTAGACTCGATAACACTGGTTAGCACACTTTTTCTGGCATAAGGTATTCCAACGGTTTTAAGGTAATTTTGGGGTGCTGTTTCCAAATCTGGCATCAGTTTTTGTCTATCACATCAGGTTTTTCAGATATCAAATATTGCATTTTCAATAAAAACTGCTAAATATTTTTTTTTTATAAATGTGGATATCTACATAAAATGATATTATAAACACACTACCCTAAAAACACAGCACCATATTTTAACACTAAAGCAGTCACTGACTCGCAACAACTTGCAATCATAAGTGACAGAGTTAATTTCGGGTAAAATCAATGAAAATGGGGTATGCCGATAGCATAAAAAATTTACCCATAAAAACAAAGTTTTTCACTATAAATCCTTTATATGCGTGCCAGCCCACATTGGTCTTTGAAACGGGCGGCTAGAGTCCTCTCGTCCTCTGGCTTGAGATGGCTGCCACCTATGGGTCAGATGATTGCCTGCCACCATTAAGCAATTGGTAATTAAATATTTTTTATTTCCTAAAATGTTGAAAATTTTGGGGGAAAAATTTTTCACGAACATTAATTGTCACGCACAACGAGTCTGTGTGCAAAATGTCAGCTCGATTGGATCACGGGAAGTGGGTTAAAACACGACCGAAAGATTTGCACGGTCCTAAGCAAGCAAGCAAGCAAGTGAACTTAATATAAAGGATTTATAAAATGAGATGTGATGGAGCAAATCTGAGATCAGATTTGGAATCGGCACCCTGAAATTAGTCTAGAACAGCTGCAAAAGTCCAGACCAGAAAAACAAGTTTTTTTGTTGACCAGTGTTTTCCGTGTGCGGTTTTTATCCAATTTGTGGATTAAGCACGCGCCTGAGATTTTGACACACGTTAATAACTCGTGGATTGTTTTTCCTTAAGCCCAATGTAATAATATAAAAACAAACTGTTGTACATTGTGAATCTTGGAAATGTTTATTGCAAGTGACGTGCTGAAACCGAACAAACATGTTATTGCCTCTACAGTATAACACAGTAATTGCATATCTTTAAAACAGTGGGGCGGAGTTTGATTGATTTTGATGAGTGTGGCTCTTCTGTCCACTATAGCGGGCCGAGTCTTCTGCGCGTGAGCAGGAAAGTGTTACTACTTGGCACGCGCATTGATCGGTCGATTGTGAGCAATCGTTCTAAATCCAAAGAGTAACAATCGAAATCTTCAGTTGTGCTTCATTTCAAATAAGATATTTTTCAAATAATTGACTGCAGTCCTCCCCGTCATTACCGCAGATAATCGACAGTCCACTGCAGTTTTGGGAGGTTGCATGTCTCGATCCACGTGATGGCGTGGATTTTTAAAATCCTTTATATTAAGTTCACTTGCTTGCTTGCTTGCGCGCTTACGACCGTGCAAATCTTTCGGTCGTTTTTTAACCCACTTCCCGTGATCCAATCGAGCTGACATTTTGCACACAGACTCGTTGTGCGTGACAATTTATTTTCGTGAAAAATTATTTCCATAACTTTACACTTTTAAGGAAATTTTTTATTATATTTAATTACCAATTGCTTAATGGTGGCAGGCAATCATCTGACCCATAGGTGGCAGCCATCTCAAGCCAGAGGACGAGAGGACTCTAGCCGCCACGCATATAAAGGATTTATAGTGAAAAACTTTGTTTTTACGGGCTAATTTTTCTCTGGGTTCTCCAGTGTTTTCTCTCCACGTTTCGAATAGACATGCGTTTTTTAGACTGTTTTGGCTGTTGCTATACATCTCCACACGATGATAAGGTGCCACCACTTCATCGAACTATCATCTGTGATGGCCAGGTTGCTTCTGAACATATTCCTGCGGAGGGAGCTGGTAGGAACGTCGGGTTGCTCGGTCAATGGCCTGCAGGGTCAACGGCGGCGTGGTGTATTCCGCAAATATGCCCGACTGAGGGCGGGCACAAGCCGGCGTGAGTAGGTTAAATGTTGAGTTTTATAAGGGCACCACGGGGTGACCAGCCCCTCCCCACCCAGCCCCACCTCTCCCAGCCCCTCCCTCCCCACCCAGCCCCTCCCTGCACGACGGACGGACACAATAATCCCCTGTGGGCTGGTGTAACCAGTGGGTTCCTACCAGTAAAATAGCTATACAGCAGCTCAGTGGGGCTTTGCCTGGTAAAATAAAATACAAGTACAGGCATTCATCGACTTACGAACGCCCTGTTATGAACACCTGTACATACGAACCAGCTTCCATAAAAAAACATTTTTGCAAAAAACATCCATTTAAAACGCAAACTCGCACTTGAAAACTGAACCGCGGAACTATTTTGTTCAGAGGAGCGATCCTCGGCGAGATGTTAATGAGTTTAACGATGCTTCCCTTTTTGTTGATCCATAACACGTTTCATAACACTGGCC